GGGTGGGGGAAGAGGATATAATGATGGGACCTAAGGGGTCCCAGGAGGGGAGGAAAGGGAACTGAGAGACACATCTTCGTGTGGGCTACTTGGATGAGTTTGTCCAAGCCATCCAGGGCCGTGTCTGTGACGCTCAGGACTAGCCTTCTGAGTCCATGTGGCCCGGAGGGAGGTGGATAATTATATGGACAGGGAGGGTCATTGAGGCTGAGTTGGGCCCATTGGGGTTGTCCAGCAAGCGCCTTTCCCTGCTGGTGCTTCGGGCTTCTTGGTTCAGAGCATTCACTTGACCTTCACAAGTTCCCCTGGGCTTGGCCCACTGGGATTGGTGAAGTCTGTTTTTTTATTGCTTACTTGGACTCTGACTCACGGTGCCCAGAGTCTCCTGGGCTTCCCTCCTTAGCCCTGGCATCACGCCCGAGCTGCAGTGACCCAGACCTGGCTGGAGTGATAGCACAGCGGGTAGGGTGTTTGCCTTGCACGCAGCCGACTGGCCCCACCCGGGTTCGATTCCTCCGCCCCTCTCAGAAAGCCCGGCAAGCTACCGAGAGTATCTTGCTCGCATGGCAAAGCCTGGCAAGCTCCCCATGACGTATTCCATATGCCAAACACAGTAACAAGTCTCACAATGGAGATGTTACTGGGCCTGCTTGAGCAAATCGATGAACAACAGAATGACAGTGACATTGACAGTGACTTAACCTCTGACTCACAGTGCCCTGGGTATCCTGGGCCTCCCTTCTTAGCCCTGGCATCTTGCCTGAGCTGCAGTGACCCAGACCTGGTGCCCTGATATGCTTTGGGTCGGAACCTGGAAGGGGCAGTAAAACAATGAGAAACCCTCCCCTCCCCCAAGAGGCACCTAGGAGCACCCTGGACAGAGCCTGGCCTTTCTCAGCAGTGTTCAGATGGAGCCCCCAAGTCTACAGCTGGATTCTTTAAGGCCCTGCCACCGGGCTTCTTCTCAAAGCCAAGCCTGCGTGAGTGGCCCTGGATAACCTCAAGGCTGACTCTTGAGGTCAGCAGGGGAGAGGTGCTGTCTCCTGCAGGTGGGACTTGTGGGCTGGTGTGGAATGTGGCCTCCGCGAGGTGAACTTGCCTGTGTAGAGGGAAGCTTTGGTTCTCGCAGTGCGACATTGGAATGAGCTCACCTTTGGGCCCTAATATTTTGCAAAGGTTTCCAACCTCCTCTGAAGTCAAATAGGCAACGGCCAATGTCGGTGTAGAAGCTTGATCTCTTTCACGTCCAATCCCTTAGGCAAGGGTAGGGGACCTTTATCTGCCAGAGGCCATTTGGATATTTGTAACATCATTTATAAAACATGTGATACAGGCAGCTGTTGAAAACACGTGTCTGTCCCGTCATGTACCGGGGCCAGACCACATGATTTGTTTAGGCCTTGTATGTCCTGTGGGTTGGGCCTTCCTCACTCCTGCTCGAGGCTGTTCCAATGAGACCCTTAGTCCCTAGCACCAACACTAAAAACAGCAACTTCCGCTAAGGAACTTGGCCTCCTTGTACCTGCAGCTGCAGTAGAAGTCCATCCTTCCACAGCACCCTTGCTCTGACACAGTGCCATGTCTGGAACCTCATGTGCTGGGCTGGAGGGACAGTACAGGGGTAAGGCACTTGCCTTACGTGCAGCCAACATTGGTTCAATTCCCAGTACAGCATACATACAGTTCCGAGCACTGCGTGGGCTCACTTCTGAGCACAACCCCTGGGCTTGGCTAGCCCCACCAGGTTGATAAAAACTAACAGAACCTCCTGTGTGGATGACTCTAAGAACCCTGAAGGTTGGGGCTGTTGGGGGTGGGGTGGAGAACTCCGCAGACCCCCTGAGCGAACTAGCCTGGGATTGATTTAGCACTCAGCCTGTCCCTGGGGGTCAGTAATCTAAACCCACGATAGGCTCCGTCTTCCCATTCACAGAGCATTGAAGAAATGATCATCATTCATTTGTTTGGGGGGGGGGGGTGCACACCTGGTGGTGCCCAGGACTTTCTCTGGCTCTGAGGTCAGGGATCACTCTCGGCAGTGCTTGGGGGACTATATGCAGTGTTGGGGACAGAACCCTGGACGACTGTGTGCCAGGCAGGTGCTTTACTAACCCCATTCATCATCTCTTCCGCCCTGACCCCTCTCGTTTGAAAGAGCACAGACCATCAGGACCTTCTCAGATTGCCCTGCGGCTACAGTCGCCTGCTATGTCCTGCTGTCTGCACCCAACGTCCACTCCAGGCCCCTCTCCAGGGCTCTTCTGGAATAGCAGGTTCACTTCCGGTGCCTTCAGCTAAGAGGCCTTCCTGGAAGCCACTAGGAGCTGCCCCAAAGCTGGGTGAGTTGGAGGACCCCCTGACGTGCCTCCCTGGTTCCTGGAGACAGATTTGGATCCTAAGCAATGACTTTGAAGGGCCGACCTGGGTTCAGTCCCCCAGCACTACATAAGGGTTCCTGAGCCCCGCCAGGAGTGATCTCTGAACACAGAGCCAGGAGTATATAGATGCACAGCTGGCAAGGAGCACAGAACCAGGTGTAAACCTTGAGCACAGCTGGGTATGGCCTGAAAACCAAAAGGAAGGAAAAAGAAAAGAAAAAGAAGGGCAAGAAGGAGAAAGGTATGTCCATGAAATGTCTGATGAGCGTGTCATATGATACCCTTTCCTGAACCAAGGGACTCCCTCCCCTCATTTATTAATACAATAAGGGGGGTCACATAAAGGAAACATCCGAAACACACATGCCATCTGAGGGGCTCGGGTGCGGTCCTGTCTCCATCTGTCCATTTTCCACAGGGCAACCGCGAGGAAGAGGCAGTTAATCACCCACTAACCCTGCTGGGCTCCACGGGCCATCTTCTCATAGGGGCTGTTGGGAGTTCTCATCCGCTGGAAAGTGATGTTGGGATGTGGTTTACTGCTGATTTCTGCTCTCTCTCCCCTTCCCAGACTCTCCGTAGATAATCTTGCCTCCTACTTCTCGGAGGAAAGAGACACATCAGACTGGAGTCCCTCATCTTCCTGACACCAAGCGTGCCACCACCAGCTGCCGTCTGCTCCTTTTTCCCTTCTGTTACCTTCCTTCACGGGTACCAAATCTCTCTCCCACAACTTGGCAACTACCCTTGAGGTTGCCTTGGGAATTGATGCTCAGGATCCTTGGCCTTCCTTCTTCGTGCTTTGTTCTCCTCGCCCAGTTGGTGGCCAACACGGTCATCTGGGATCTACCGTTAAAATCAAAGAAGCCCCAGACAGAGCTGCTGTTTTCCTCAGAACATCTGCCGGGTGCAGGCAGAAAGCTTCCCTGCAGCCTTACTAGCTCAGCGGATGCCACAGACATAGCTTTGTTCTCCGGGACACAGGTTTCAAAGCGGAATGTTGAGTGCCTTGCTTGGTCATTTCAATGGATGCATTGAACAAATTTTTATTCCTGCGGGATTAGAATAGCCACCACCACCACCACCACCAAATCTGAAGGGACCAGGGGTTCTTAGACATATCCGTGCTTTAGACTCCCTGGCAATCTGGAAAATCAGTGGTTTCTCTCAGAATAATACTAAATGCATACAGCAAAATACAGAGGATTACCAAGGAAACCAAAATACAGTCATTAGAAAAATGTGGCATGGTGATCGCTTTGCTGCTTGATGGAAGCAAGAAGGAAAATGTAGAGGCAGGTACAAGGCGTTTATAATTTCACAGCAGGGACGAGCCCAAAGGAGGTTGTTGAAAAATAGGCAACAATGGTGGTTGGATTAGAACAGCTGTGATTTTGGTGGGTGATTAAGACACAGTACATCACCTCCAGTATTCCAGAGTCTGCTTTCTGCAGGCAGAACTGACGTGCCTGCGGGTGGGGGTGTTTCAATTACATTTCGGTACGGAAAGGTACATGCCGGGATCTCAGTTACATTTTAGTGGGAGATCACTGGCTGGAAGTTCTGGCTTCCAGGGAGGGCCCCCAGGGAGTCTGGGTTCTGTCCATGGTCCCTGAGTCCCTAGGTGCTCCCGGGAGCTTGGAGCTTGCCTTGCATGGAGCCAAGATGCTCGGAGAAGCACGGAAGGGCCAGAAACGTCATTTCACCTTGGGTATGCGTCCCCGAAGGGGACGCGCTAGGAAGTGCCAGCGCCGTGTTGGGGCACTCTGCCAACCTCCTGTATTTTTAGACCTTGGAAATGGACAAATGGAAGGGTTACTCCTGAGATTTCGCGGAGAGCTAGTCTGACCCCTCCCCGCTGGCTCTCCTCCCGGCCCGGCGACATCCAGGCGCACAAAAGTGAACTCGGGATTCTCAACTCACGTCTCCCAGCCAGCGCGGGGTTCGCGCATCTCAGTCGGCACCGCCGGGACGCGCCTGGTATACCCATCCCCGCCGCCGCCTCTGGTGGGCTCGGAGCTAGACCCTCCGCCCGGGTCGGGTGGCGTCCCCGAGTCTCGGCCGAGCGCGGGGTAGCCGGCGGGACCCCGCGCCGCGCCCGCACGCACACTCGGTGCTCCGTGTGGGTGCAGATGCGCGCCCCGAAACCCCGTGCGATCGGTTTCGCGCCGGAGACCGGTCCCCGCTGCGGGCGTCCCAGGAACACACAAGCGCCGGCCCCCACCGACCCCCGGGGGCCCCCCGCGCGCCCCCACCCCACTCTCCCCCGCGTCCCCCACCCGCGCATCCCAAGCATCCATCCCTAAAGGGCCGCGAGAGGGACCCCGACGGGCCAGATCGTCGTGGCCTACCCCCCACTAGAGGATGGAAGGCGGGACGCGGTGACCAGCACCCACCCCCACCGTCCCGCCCGGCCCGGCCCGCCCCGCCCCGCCGCCGGCCGGCCCCCCGGGGAGCATCGCGCGGGGCGCGGGGCGCGCGCGGCGGGCTCGGGGGGCCGGGGCGGGGGAGGCGCCGCGCGCAGCCAATCCCGGGGCCGCCCCCTCCCCGCCGTCGCGGGCCCAGCCGGGGCGGGGGAGCCGGGCGGCGGCGGCGGCGGCGGCGGCGGCAGCGGCGGCGGCGGCGGCGGGAGGGATGGAGCGGGGCGGGGGGATGCGGGGCGGCGCGGAGACGGCCGCGGCGCTGCAGAGCGGCTGGGGCGGCGGCGCGGCTCCCGGCGCTCCCCCCGGCGCCCGCCCCGACCCGGTGAGGGCCCGGCCGCGAGGCCCCGGAGCCATGGGCTGCATCGGCTCCCGGACCGTGGGTGGGTACCGCGGCGGCGCGGGGGGCTCGGCCGGCCCCCTCCCCCACCCCGCGCGCCCCGCTGCTCCCCGCTCTCCCCGCCGCTGCTCCCTCCGGCTCCCCGGCGCCCCTCGCTCGCTCGCCCGCCCGCCCGCCCGCCGTGCCCCCCGGGGCGCGGTCCCTCTCCATCCTCCTCCTTCCCTTCCTCCCTGCCTCCCTCCCGCTGCCCGCACCTGCAGGCCGGTCCCCCGCTGCCCCTTACCCGCGTCCGTTTCTGGGGCATCTCCCCCTCCCCACCCCTTGCCCAGAACCCCTAGTGTCTCGTGCCACCCCTCCCCTTCCCCCAGTCTGCCCGCGGCCGCACCGGCCCCATCGCTTGGCATCTCCGCTGCCGTTTCCCGTGGCTCCAGCCTCCCCCCACCACCCCGGGTCGCTTTGTTCACGTGCATTTTCCCCTTCGGGGCGGGGGCGGGCTACGCCGGGGCCTCGGGGAGGCAGTGGGGTGCACGTCCCAGGGGGGTTGGGGAGCGGGGCCAGACCCGGCTTGGGGCGCGCGCGAGGCGTGAGGGGTGAGGGTGCGGCCACCTGGCCGCACCTGTCGGCGGGGGCCGCGGGGCGGGGCCGCCCCTTTATTTACCTGGGATGGGGGGGATGGACGGGACGTTTCGGAAGTCGCCTTTCCACCCCCCCCTCCCAGCCTGAGCGAGCTACCGCCCCTTCCCCCACCCCCCTCCCCAGCCCGTCACCCCAGGGACCCGCACCCCCCTCCCCGCTCCCACCTATTCGTCCAGCCTCGCCCCATCTCCCACCCCCTCTTCCCCCCGCCCCCCCATTGGAACTCCCGATTTCTCCCGCCCACACGCCCCAGTGACCTCAGGCTGAGAGAATAAGTCGTATTATTATTATTACGAACAAACTCTCTCGCCCCGCCGGCCGGCCGCCCGATTTCTCCGAGACCCGCTTGATTTCCATGGCTACCCCCCTCCTCCCCCTTTTCTTAGGGTTCTCCCTGCCTCCCCCTCCCTGCCCCCCACGGCTCTGACTCAGCTCTCCCTCTTTTACAAAGGCCACCCCCTCCCTCCCCTCGCTCCCACTCTGCCCTCCCCACCGCCACCCCGAGATTGTTCTGGGCCTGCCCCGTGCCGGTGCACCGCGCGCTCGGGGTTCTCCATCCGGAGGACCGTCTCCTCCCTTCTTCCCCCCTCCGGGGGCCTGGTCTGACCCTCTTGCCTCCGCCCTTTGGCCCTCCCCCCAGGGAGACCCATCTGCAGCCTAATATGCAGCACTCCTACCTCCCTACGACCCCTCACCACCATCCACGCCCCCTCGGGGCTCCAGCCCAGTTGTCTGCCAAGCGCCTCTTGGTGCCTGGGGACCCTCTCAGCTCGCCCCTCGACCCAGAGCTGGTGCGGAGAGCATCATAGGTCAGATGGTCCAGGGCTTCATCCCTCACCACCGCCACCCAGCTAGGCCTGACTCATGTCTTCCTTGGTGTTTCTGTTGTTGTTTGTCTGTTTGTTTTTGGGCCACACCCCGTGGTGCTCAGGGATCACTCCTGGCAGGGTTCAGTGGGGCCATACAGGCTGCTGGAGATTGAACCCGGGTCTGAGGTTTGCCCATGTGAGGAGAAGCCCCTCCTCACTGTACTCTCTCCACCACCGGTGTCTTCCTGTGGGCAGCATTCGCTGAAGCCCCCTCACTTAACCGTTTGCCATTCTTCCGCTGAGGCCCAGTTTCCAGTTGAGTCAGCCCCCAAACTCTGCCCACCTCCTTCTCTAGTCTTTTGTCTGCTCTCTGACTTAAATTCTTCCTCCTTCCCGGCTGATTTTAAAGTCCCTCTGACTCTCCTCCGGTTCTGCCTCCTGCTTTGGACTTAATTTGCACTTAATTCCCAGTGACCGAAGGATTCCAAGTCCCTTTTCCTTTCTTTCTCTATTCTCGCTGTTTTTGAGGGGCAGATCATCATACCCCTGCCTCTGGTCCTCCAAGCGACCTTCCCTGAGGGTAGCACATGTTGGGCTCTCTGGGCAGAATACATTGCTGCCACCTCCCAGACACCCCAGCAACCCAGAAAGCTCCCCTCGCCCCCAACCCTAGAAGTTCCATGTTTGCAGAAACATCGAAGATGAGAAGCACGGCTAGGTACTAGCCCTGCACGGAAGCCCTGGGAGATGTCTCAGAAGCAGAGGCAGAGTCGTTGTCCTGCAAAACCTAACCACTTTGCTCCTGCATATAAACAAGCAAGAAGGGCTTCTAGCACTTTCCTGAGTGTGCTCTCTGAGCTGAGCAGAAATGCAGTATTTTGGCTCAGCCTTATAATTTCCCTTACTGAAGGTTGCGGAGAGGGGGCTCACCAGAAGTGGGCCATCCACTGAGGAGTGGTCGCTGGAGAGTAGGGAAGATTCTGGAAGAACTGAACTCTGCTTGTGCCTAATGTGTAAAGACACCAGGGCAGGGATTTTTTTTTTTTCATTTGGGAGATACCCACGGATGCTCAGGTGTTACTTCTGGTTCGGTACTCAGAAATTACTCCTGGCCGAGCTTGGGTGATACTTTGGGGTGCCGGGGATGGAGCCGGGGTTGGCAGCATGCAAGGTTAATGCCCCACGGCTACCCTATTGCTCTGGCCCAAGTGTAGGGCTTGCAGAGAGGGGCACCAGGAGGTACCAACCCAGCCCTGCTCACCCTCTGCCTCTCCAGGGAACGAAGTGATTGCGGTGGACTGGAAGGGACTGAAGGATGTGGAGCAGATCAACATGGATAGCACCAGTTCCCTGCATGGCAGCAGCCTGCACCGGACGTCCACCGAGGTGAGACAACCCCCCCCCCAGCAGACAACCCCCCCAGAGCCAGCCTGAACAGAGCCTTGAATGATCTCCCCAAATTCCAAGAGCACCCCCCAGTCCCTCCATCCTAGCGCCCAGCTTTCTCTGCCTTTAGAAGGCGGCCCTCGGATAGACATAGAAAGATTGCATTCATCTGGGGAACATAAAGTAACAGAATAGGAGACTAATACCCAAGAATGGCCGAGATTAGTACCAGGAATTTTGCTCCATGGCTTGGAGGCCAGCCACACATGCTAGGGGAAAAGGGAGCTCAGATAGAGAAGGGAGCACCAAATAAAGGGTGTTGGGAGGATCCTCCAAGGATGGGAGAAGCATGCTGAAAGTAGACTATAGACCAAACATGATTACCACTCAATGCCTCTCTTGCAAACCACAGAACCCAAAAGGAGAGAGACAGAACAAAAGGGAGTGCCCTGCCACAGAGGCAGGGTGGGATGGGGTGGATGGGGGGTGGGAGGGATACTGGGACCTGTGGTGGTGGAAAATGGGCACTGGTGGAGGGATGGGTACTCGATCATTGTATAACTGAAACCCAAGCACAAAAATTTGTAAGTCTACAACTGTACCTCATGGCATCTCACTAATAAAAATTAAAAATAAATAAAGACAGAGTCTAACACACACACACACACACACACACACACACACACACACACACACACACGGCAGCCCTCGCCTCTCTATTGCAAGTCTGAGGAGGAATCGGGGTGAGGGGGTGTTGGGGAAGGGGAGGTACCTGTATTTATGGGAGTGCCCGGGACTCAGCTGTTCTGTTCTCTCTTCACAGCAAACCAGAACCGACTTCTCCTGGGATGGTATCAATGTGAGTGTGGCCTCCCCGCAGCCCTGCAGACCCCCTCGCCCCTGTCCTCTCTCTCATGTTCTTCCCAGGCCCTCTGCCTCGCATGCTATGCCCAGGCACCAGCCCCCATGGGGAGCCCCCACGTTCCCCCCATTCACTCCCTACACAAGCTTTCAAGGAATCTGGATTCCTGGGGACCATGCTCTTCCATCTCACCTGCCGGAGCGCCCCTTCCTTCTCCCTGGAACTGGGACCCTCTTCCGCACAGAGTGCTCCCTGACCCTCTTCCTCTCCCCCCCTGCCCCCGCTCCAGCTCTCCATGGAGGACACCACTTCCATTCTCCCGAAGCTCAAGCGCAACTCAAATGCCTACGGCATAGGGGCCCTGGCCAAGTCTTCATTCTCAGGTGAGATCCCTGCCCAGGGGGCCCTGCAGGGGGGAATCCTAGAAGTCTGGGGGTGGGGATGGGCTCAAGTCTCCTCTTTCTTAAGGCCTGGAGAAGACCCGCACCTCCTCCTCTCTACCTACTGGCTTTTTCTGCCAGCCTCTCTCCTCCTCCTCCAGGCAGCCCCTCTGGGATTGTCTCTCCTCCTTGGGATTCCAGGCCCTGTGAGAGGAGACCAGGGATGGATGTGGGGGGTGGGATGGATGGGGGGTGGGGTGGGCTCCATGCTTTATTACCTTCTGGAGCCTATGGGTCATGTCTGGTGCCTCAGGGATTTCGCGAAGCATGAAGGACCACGTGACAAAGCCCACGGCTATGGGCCAAGGCCGGGTGGCCCACATGATCGAGTGGCAGGGCTGGGGCAAGGCACCGGCTATCCAGCCGCAGCACAGCCACGAAGCCGTGCGCCGGGACACCGACGCCTACTCCGACCTCAGCGACGGCGAGAAGGAGGCGCGCTTCCTCGCAGGTACTCGTCCCCCACAGCCCTTCAGGGGACACGTTCGTGGGTGGCCCAGAAATGGAACCTCCAACACAGTCCTGGGTCCGTGTGAGGTAGACCCAGGTGATGACCGGTTTCCCCAAGCGGCTCTGATTTCGGGGACTTTGTTTATTCTGGTCAATCTCCTCTGACATTAAACAGAAAATTGATCTCAAAGGGGAAAAAAAAAAAACAGAAAAGAGGGGCTGGAGCAATAGCACAGCGGGTAGGGCGTTTGCCTTGCACGCGGCCGAGCCGGGTTCGATTCCCAGCATCCCATATGGTCAGGGGTAATTCCTGAGTGCAGAACTAGGAGTAACCCCTGTGCGTTGCTGGGTGTGACCCAAAAAGAAGGAAAAAAAAAACAGAAAAGAGGAGGAGGAGGGGGAGGGATAATACACGGCAGGTCAGGGGTGCTTGCCTTGCAAGCTGACCCGAGTTTGATTCCTGGGATGCCCGAGGCTCCCCCGAGCACCACCGGGAGTGATCCCTAACCCTGAGCACCGCCAGGCATGGACCCCACACCGATCAGCCAAACAAAGTGGAGTTCCGTGAGGTGAGGGAAAGCCTGTTCCCAAGACTTTGTCTCCCGCAGATGACGAAGGTCCATGCTGTGCTGTCTGCGTCCAGGCCAAGGGGACAGTGGCCTCTGGCTGCAGAGGGCTTTTAGTGGTCATGAGGAGAGAGAGGCAAGGCCAGGGCATCTTCCGTCCTACCTGCAGGCCCACCCCAGTGGTGAGCTTCCAGAAGAGGAAGGGACGGGGGTGTGGAGAGGGCAGTGTGACCCAGATGGGGCCCCTGGTAAGGATGACAGAGAGGGGGGTGTTAAGGATGTGGACTGTGGGAAAAATACACCTGGTGGAGCTTAACATGTAAGAAAGATGGAAGGTCACAGGGCAGCTGCCAGGGTGATGGTCACTTTCCTGGCAGTGCTGAGGAGAGTGGAGTCCCCCCCCACCCCCTGCCTGAGTCGGCCATCCTTCTTCCCCTGGTCTCCTGCCTTCCCCCTTCCACTCTGGGTGAACCAGCCCGAACCACGCCCCTCGGTGCTTCTTTGGGAATTCTCAGTCCATCTAGATTTCTCTCTCCTTGGCTAGGGAACACTGCTAAGCCCAAGCCCATTTGAAAGCTAATTCTATGACTCCCTGGTTTGAATGACATAGGCTGTCTCCCCAGAAGATTCCCCACAACTGGGATACCTTGGAATCCTAACTCTGGACTCCTGCAAAGTTCCTCTCTGTTTTAGCCTTCTTTGGGGGCTTCTAGAGAGTGTGTGTGTGTGTGGGGGAGCCTAGCACAATCGTTGCTGGCCCCCGGTGGGCTGCTGAGAACTTGACATGTGTGTGGCCTGTCCAAATGGACGTGTGCTGAAGTGTAAAATACTGTTGTAAAGACTTCCTGTGTGGGTCAAAGACTAGAAAGGACCTCACGAAAGGGCTGGAGTGATAGCATAGTGGGGAGTTTGCACGTAGTCGACCCAGGTTCAATCCCTGGCATCCCATAAGGTGCCCTGAGTCCCAGCAGGAGTAATTCCTGAGTGCAAGGCCAGGAGCAAGCCCTGGTCACAGCTGGGAGTGGACCCAAATCAACACCAATGAAAGCGCCTCCTGACTAGCTTCCAAATGGGGTGTGTGTTGAGGTGGTTCTGTTTCCTCTATTGGCCGAATGTTGCTAAATCCATCCCTTGTTTTGGATATTTTTTTCTCCACGCACCTTGAACGTGGCCCCGTGGCTCGCCCCCTTGTCTCCTGTGTGTGCCGGGGTTCCCCTGGCCCATCTGGGTGTGACTGGGGGGTCGCCGAGGTCCCTGCTCGTGACTCCGTTCCTTCTCCCAGGCGTCATGGAGCAATTTGCCATCTCCGAGGCCACCCTCATGGCCTGGTCATCCATGGACGGTGAGGACCTGAGTGTCAATTCCGCCCAGGAGCCTCTGGGTTGCAACTACAGTGACAACTACCAGGAGCTGCTGGAGAGTCAGGGTGAGGATGGTTCCAGAACCCAACCCCTGCAGCCTAAGGTCCTCCAGAACCCAATCCCCACAGCCTAAGGTCCTCCAGAAGCCAACCCCCACTGCTTAAGGTCTTCTAAAACCCAACGCCCACAGCCTAAGGTCCTCCAGAACCCAACCCCCGCAGGCTAAGGTCCTCCAGAACCCAACCCCCACAGCCTAAGGTCCTCCTGCCCCCACCCTGAGCATCTCCACTCCCTGCCGACCCCACTCCCCACCATCCACCTGTGTCCCCAGACTGTCTCTCTTGACACCCTTTCCTCCTTTCCATCCTATCCTTGAGTTGTGACCCCCCCCCCCCACATTTCTCTCCCCAGAGGCCCTCGCTCAAGGTCCCCTGGATGGATGGCCGCACTCCTACGTGTCCCAGGGCATGTACTGCCTGGGGTCGTCAGACGCCTGGGAAGCCAGTGACCAGTCCCTCATTGCCTCTCCAGCCACTGGGTCCTACCTTGGTCCTGCCTTTGACGACTCCCAACCCAGCTTGCACGAGATGGCGCCTTCCCAACCGCCTCTGGGATACTCGACTCAGGAGCCCCCACCTTTCCTTGGGGGGGACACTGACTGGGTGCCGGGGGTGGGCGCGGTGGACCTGGCAAGGGGCCAGGATGAGGAAGAGAAGAGGCCGCTGGCGCCCGAGGAGGAGGAGGACGCGGGGTGCCGGGACCTGGAGTCGCTCTCGCCCCGAGAAGAGCCCGAGGTTTCCACGGCACTTAGCCGGAAGGTGTCCGACGTCACGTCCTCAGGGGTGCAGTCCTTCGACGAGGAGGAAGGCGAGGCCAACAACTGAGGCCACCCCAGCCTCTTTCCACAGAGGGGAGTGAGCCCTGGCCTGGCCCGCCAGCAGGGGCCCCGTGAACTTGGCCCTGGTTGCAGGCTCAGGGTCCGGTGTGGATCACAGCCCTCCATCGGCGACTGTCTCCAGGAGCCTGGCAAACGCCTCCTTCCTCCATGCCACTCGCTTTGCCTGACTCTGGGGCCCAGCGGCTCCTTCCCACGGGAAGAACCTTGGGGCCGGGGGGGGGAAGGGGGGAGATCTGGACGGACGGGGCGCCCTGGAGAGGCCACAAGCCTTGCGGGGCAGGGGGCCGCCTATGCTGGTGAGACCTGAGCCATGGAAGCTGTGATGTGGCCTCGAGGATGCTGCCCACGTGGGCCCCCCACCGAGACCGGCGTCCCCACCGAGAACGAGAACCAACAAGGCCACTCACGCTGGCATCCGAGGATCTGGGGAAAGCGGCCAGCGGGGGGCCGGAGGCTGCAGCTCTCGCTTCCTCTCTCCGCCTTCTTCCCTCCCCTGCTCTGGGGGTCCCAGCCCTGGGGGTCGGCAGGGGGAAGGGGTGAGAGGGAGAGAGAATGCAGAAGGCAGGGGTCCTGACCGGGTGCAGGAGAACAAAGGCGGCCTCTCCCTCCAGACCCTCGCCCCGACTCTCTGGAGCTGTTTACACTTTTCTCTTTGCCTTTTCTACATTTTTATACCTTCTTGGGGACTCAGGGTTGAGTGGGGTGCTGCCAGGCCCTGGCGGGGTGGGTGTCTCTCTCCCTTTGCCCTTCTTCAGCTCCTCCTAGGAGGTGCCCGTCCAGACCTACCTTCTGTGGGGCAGCCGAGGGGACTTCCTTCCGGGGCCGGCCCGTCCAACACTAGCTCCTAACACTGCTTGCTCTCCCCCCAATCTTGTTTCCATTCTTGCAGCACGAGGCCTCAACTCCCCCCACCCCCACCCCATCCCTCTCCGCTGTGATGGCCACGGGCTTGGCCAGTAGCACTCTGCCCGCCCCCCCCACCCCCAGTCCTGCCTCTTGGGCAGGAGACAGAGAGAGGCCAAGGGTTGTGTGGGATCACCTGCTGCCCCCTAACTTCCTGAGCCTGAGTAAGGCCCTAAGCCCCCCTGCCCCTCCAATCCTCCATCCTCTGCAGAGAAGAGGGGGCTGTCCCCCCCACCCCCCATCCACAGACCAGCCCCTCCAGTCCCAAGCTCTGGACTGGAATTTATAGATCGAGGAGGTTGTGTGAGTAGAACTGTTCTGTTCCTCTGTATGCCTGCCCCTCTACACACACACACACACACACACACACACACACACACACACGCAGACATACACACACACACATAAGCACGTGTACACACACTCGCACACACATGCACACACACGTATACACATTTGCACACGCACACTCATGCATGCCCACATACGCACATGTGCACACCTGTGAGCACATGCACATGTGTACACACACACACACACACACACACACACATTCTAGATCACACTTTCCTACTCACACGCTCTGAAACGCTCCCGGGGCTGGGTGCCAGCTGTTTCCTGAACGGGAGCACGGAGAGCAGCGCTGAAGTCCCTCAGCCGCCCTCAGACTGCCCAGAGCAAGGCTGTCTCGCACTCAGTCACACGCCCTGACCCTGTAGGCCTGACCCCAGGGGTGGGGGCACTGGGAAACTGTCCGGCTGCATGCTCGCTCTCTCTGCCCTCCCTGGGGGGCCACCCTGTCTCTGTGCCTGGTGACCGTTGACGCTGGTCTCTCTGAGCCTCCCCTTTTGCCTGAGTGTCATCCCCTTGGTGCCCTGGGTCCCACACCACACGCCCTGCTGGGCTTCTGTCTGTGAGGAGGTTCACTCATCCCCAGCCACTTCCGGCCCTGGAGTTAGGGAAGCCAGGTGTGCCCCTCCCCCACCGAGCCCTGCAGGAAGACAATGGTCACCTTGGAGGAATCAATCTGGGGAGCCCAGGATGCACCGAGCAGAGGCCAGGTGGGGACTCGCAGGGTCTGACCTGGGCCCCTCCTAGAACCTTCCAGCAGGCAGGCACAGCCCCTGGTGCTGAGGGGCGGGCTGCATGGGGTTTGCTTACAGCCTATTCCCGGGGGAGGGGCATGTGGAGAAAGAAGTGAGGGTGGGGGGGCGTCACTTTTCCTTTGGGGGTCTCAGGCTGTGCCGCATGTTTTCACAGCAGTCACAGAGCTCCGCTGGTTTCTGTCCCTGTGAACGAAATGCTCTCGCTCCAACGGTTTCCTTCGGGTGGGGTGGGGGGGGTGCGCTTTCATTTTCAAGTCACTTTATTAAAAGAAAAATGCAAATCTGCCATTCCTCCCCTCCACTGCCCTTCCCCACCTCCTTCCTTCCTTCCACTCCTCCGGGGGTGCTGGAGTTTCTCCCCTTCTCCTGCCCCCTCCACCCTGGCATCCCCACCCCCGCCCCCTTCCAGGTCGGGAGCCCCCCGACTTCCGGCCGGTCTCAGCATGCTTTCTTAACATGGCACACCCACCCTAGGCCCGAGAGAGATTCTATGACATATATCACAGAGAGAATTATATACAAATATATAAATATTATAGATTATATACACATGGGCACAGGCTCCCATACCCCTGCCAGCCCCCGGCCCCAGGCCTCAGCCTCTCTCTCTCTCTAGGCCCAGGGAGGGGGACCTGCCGCGGTGAGGGGGACAGATGATCAGTGGCACTAAACCGTGTGGTGGCATCTTCGGACTATGAGTGTCTTCTTTGGGGACGGAGTGCAGGGACGGCGCGACTGTCATGGGGAAGGGGGTGGGGCGTGCATGGACCAGGCCTGCGGGGAAGGAGAAAAGCTAAGGATGCAGGAGCAAAGGCTACTTCTCAGAAGGCTCGAGAGGCCAGGCCCCGTGCTGCTGGCCTGGGGGGGTTCGGGGACTTCACTTGCCCCTGCGGGGGAGGCTGCGGGGAGGCCAGCTACCTGGACATAGCTACCCCCCACCAGGTCCCAGAGATGCCCCAGAAACTCAGGAGTGTGGAGCCTGCCTCCCGGTTCCTCCTGACACTGGCTCTCTGTGCCCAGGGCAGGGGTAGGGGCGGGCCAGCTGTCACTCATTCTGCATCCTGCAGGGAGCTGGGCATAAGGAAAGACTTGGGGGTACAGGCCCCCGAGTGAGTGTGGAACCTGCCTGCCGGAAGCCTGGTTCTTGGGAGTAGCAGCCGGAGGGAGGGCAGAGGCTCCCAGGAGGAGGGGTCTGTACCCCCAGAGTCTTTCCTCATGCCCAGCTCCCTGGGGGATGAAGAATGAGTGACAGCTGGCCCACCCCGCCCCCGCCCTGGGCAGAGAGAGTTGGGGGTCAGGCATAACCTGGAGGCAGAATTTGGGGATCAGGGTGTAGAGAAGTGGGAGGTGGGGAGAAGGGGTGTGGACCATCTCGGGGCTCACACTGGGGCTGTCTGCCCCCTCCCCAGGGAGGCCTCCAGTGACCCCAGCTCCTCACCCAGGTGAAACCCTTGTGAGGCTTCTACTCACTGCCCTGGAGGCCGAAGGACAGGATCACCGGAAACTGGGGAAAAGGGTGGGGGAGCCAGTGTGACCCCAAAGCTCAGGAGTGCCTGTGGACGCTCTGGGGGCTTTTCTCTGGGCTCAGAAGCCCCGTACGGCTGGATGTGACTCCACTGTCCCTGGTGTCCTCAATCCCGGGGGGTCCCCAAGCTGCCCCTTCCGGCTGTCACAGCATCACCTCGTCCTCGTCCTCCTCCTCCGTGGAGCGCAGGCTGGGGCCCTGCAGGATGTCAGCCAGGTCGTCCTCGGGGGCAGCCCCCGGGTCCCCCACCAGCTCCAGCTCCTCCAGCTCGGGGAGGGGGGGGCGCGGGGGGAGAGGCGGGGGCCGGAGTCTCTGTCTCTGTCTCGGGGGCGGCAGGAGCCTCAACCCCCGCTCCCACCCTGTCCCCTGGAAGACTCCAGGGCTCTCCCGTTGGGGGCAGACCCCTGGAGCTTCTTCGAGTCGTTGTGTTCCGGAAGCTGGCCAGCGGCGGGCGGAGCTGCAGCCCCGACTTGGTGTGGCCCTCGATAGCCTTCTGGAGCTGGGGGATGGGGGGGGGAAGGGAGAGAGAGAGGGAGGGAGAGAGAGTGAGAGTGTAGGAAAGAGCCCACCCTTCCTCCCATGCTCCCCCTGACTCCCCTCCACCATCTCTAGGGTGCCCCCGCCTGCCCCAGGGCATTACCTCGTCCAAGGCCAGCACGCCCCTGAGCTTCCCCATGCTGGTCACGTAGGCCAGGTGGAGGCCCAGGAGCGAGAAGAGCGTGTGCGTCTGGGGGGAGAGGGTGGGATGAGTGCTGGGCCAGCCCCCCACTTACCACCCCCTTGCCCCCCCCCCCCCATTTGGCCCGCACGCCTGGGCAGACCTTGTGCAGGGATGTCTGTTCCACCAGCTGGAAGGGCGACTGGTCGATGCAGCAGCAGTCGAAGCACACGGGCTGGCGTAGCTGCTCCTGCTCCCAGGCCTCGATCTGGAGGATGGTCACCCCCAAGGGTCAGCCACCGGCCTCACTCCAGGATTCACCCGACACACCCCCTTGGGCTGCTCTGGCGTCTCACACACCCCGGGGCCCTCTCGAGCTGCCTTCTGGCTCCTGCCTCCTCGGTTTTCATCTCCCCAGCTCCCCACCACACACACCTGCCCCACTCGGGACCACAGAGCATTGGCTCCTGGTCCCCTTTCCATTTTCATTGTGGTTTGTGGTCTCTTTGCCCCCGTGGAGAGACTCCTGGTCACTGTCCGGTCAGCATCAGTGCACTGGACACGGACCCTTGGAAGCGTGTCACTGAACATCAGCTGCTGTGACTTGAGAAGGAACAGCATCCAGGCAGAGAGATAGTACCGTGGGTAGGGGCCAGAGAGATAGCACAGTGGGTAGGGCCAGAGAGAGATCACAGAAGGGAGAGGCCAGAGATATAGCTCAGTGGGTAGGACCAGAGAGATAGCACAGTGGGTAGGGCTGGAGAGACAGCACAGTGGGTAGGAGCCAGAGAGATAGCACAGTGAGTAGAGCTGAAGAGAGACAGCAGCACAATGGGTAGGGGCCAGAAAGACAGCACAGTGGTTAGGGTTCTTGTCTTGCATGCAGTTAATCTGGGTTCAAGTCCAAGCATCACATATGGTCCCCTAAGCCTGCTTGAGTGCAGAGTCAGGACTGTGCCCCTAAGCATTGCCAGGTGTGGAGAAAGAGAGAGAGAAAGAGAAAGAGAGAGAGAGACAGAGACAGAGAGGGAGGGAGAGAAAGAGAGGGAGAGAGAGATTGTGGGTATTGGATGGACTGGCTAAGCTGTACTAGGTCAGTTGAGATTGAGGTGAGGGAAGTTATTTGCTTTTGTCTTCGGTGTGTTTCGTTTCATGAAGACACACAGACCAATGCTCCTCTTGACTTTGTTCCTACAGGCTAAAGTTCCCCCAGATTCCACATCACCCCGCGTGGCACTGGCTTTCAGGAACAAATCCTCAAAGTGCTGAGGCCTCATCCCAGTCAGCACCCTCTCATGCTGTACTTACTCAATTTCCTTTCCACTGTCACAATCTATGCCCTGCAAATCTTCTCAGGCTATCCCCCAAACCGTGCCCTTATTCTTTTTTGGTTTTGTTTCTTTGGGGCCACTCCTGGCTCCGCACTCAGGAATCACTCCGGGTAGGCTGCATTTAGGAATGGGAGTGGGAATCAGAGCCAGCGCCCTCCCAACTGTAGTGTTGCTCCGACCTCAAACCTTTTTCCTAAAGCACCGATGTGCCCAGTCTCCACCCACCCGTCCCCAGTTTCTCTGCCCTATGGTCACCTCCTAACACGCTCATCTTCCCCCAAAAGACAAAACAAAACAAAATCGCTCACACAACACAGGAGAGTCAGTCCCAGCCCACACTTAGCAGGTATGTTTTTCAGATGACTTATGCCTTGGCCCTTGTTCCAGGCGAGACTTGGACTGGACCCTCCTGGCTTACTGGACCCTTTGGTGATCATTCCTGGTGACCCTTATGGAGCAAGGGCAGCGAACACAAAACCATTTCCAGCACCGGTGCACGAGCAGTTTCTGGGGGCCAGGCACGATGCTAATTGTTCCACATGTCTCCATTCATGGAATCCTCCTCAACAGCCAAACATCATCTCCATTTCACAGGTCACACAGAGGCAGGGCTGAGCTTCTGTCCCCAGGCTCGAGAAGATTTCAGACACCCCAGCTTTGCTCCCAGTGGGGGAGGGCCACCACTCCTGGATCTGATGTGTTCCGGTACTTAAAAATCTCAGCCCCAGTCCCAGCCCAGAGCTTACTCTGTAAATAACCCATGAGAATCCAAGCATCTCAGCAGGAACGTGCTGCCACCTGCCACAGGGATCTTTCCCTCTTGCTGCTGGCAAGGGCATCATTTGCAGTCAGAAAACCGTGTTCGAAATATCCTGCACTGTGACTCCTTTGCAGCCATCCCCCCCCCCCAAACATCTCTGCAGGTTGCTCAGTGGGGGTTCCTGGCTTCCAACAATCTTCACTGAGAAAGATGTGAGCTAAGGATGCATGAGCTGGTGCCTGAGCCGTAGTGCAGCAAAGAGGGTGTTTGCCTTGCACCAACCCACCCAGGTTCGATCCCTAGCATCCCATAGCGACCCTGGAGCAATACCAGGAGTAATTTCTGTAATTTCTGAGTGCAGAAGTGCAGAGCCAAGAGTAACCCCGAGTATTGCTGAGTGTGGCCCAAAAAGTCAAAAACAAAACAAAACAAAACAAAACAAAAAAACAAAAACAACAACAACAAAGAAAAACCCATGAGCTTTTAATACTGCACTGCCCTTCCTTTTCATGGTCATTAAATAACCTCCCTGATCAACTAGCTGTCTTTTTTTTTTTTCTTTCTTCTTTTGCTTCCACGAATTAAAAAAGAAAGTCTTATGTAGCATCTTAGCAAGAGCTCCCTAGCTGCAGTCAGTCAGGACCTGGTTCCTGTCTGTGGGAAGCAGGAAGCTTTTCATTTTCGTCTATGATCTCCTGTGACTTTTCCCAGGATCCTTTGGGGAGATCCAGAAGAGGCGGACATCTTTCGCTTTGGTCCCTCATCCCCCCCTCCTGTACCCCTGTGGCCCTTTAACGTGCATCTTCAGCGCGTGGCTATTCTGGGTGTCCAGTAAAGATGCTTATTTTAAAATGCTACCCGCTCGGGCTTTCGTCAGTGCCTTCCTATTACGGCTCTCTCGCCTGCCTTCTTGGGCAGCCTGCATCCTCCAGGACTCAGTAGAATGGTGGCTAATGGGCTTGATGCTGTTCCTCACGGCCCCTGGGGTATGTTCCCATCAGCGTTGCTTGCACCTGCGCCTAATCACACCCCACGTCCAGCTTCTTGTCCTGGGGGCCAAGTCATTATGTGAGCTGCGTGCTTCTCTCTTGGCCCTGAGAGACATCTCTTCTAGAATGGGGAACATGTGTGTCCTAGACAGGCACCCTGGTCACCACTAACCTTGAGCATTTAGCATTTTAGCATTTCTAGCATTCCCAGGTAAGCCTATTCTTCCGTGGCGGGTGAACAGCTGCTGGCCACCCAGGGGTGTTTTATTTGCAGTATTTTTGGAAGAGGTCACACCTGGTGATGCTCAGGGGTTACTCCTGGCTCTGTGCTCAGGAATCACTCCTGGAGGGCTTGGGAGACCATCTGGGATGCTGAGGATTGAACCCAGGTCGGCTGCAGGCAAGGCAAGTGTTCTACTCACTGGACTGTCGTTCCAGCCCCTATCTGTAATATTCTTTCTGCCTAACTTCAGCCTGATCTAGAACATTCCCAATGTCTAAAGGCTAAAACTCAGGTCTGTGACATCCTCCTCAAGGACAGGGCCCCTCTGAGAACACCACCAGGCTGCCCACGCCCCCCAGAATCAGACCTCATTCCCACCCACCCTAAGGGCTCTCCCGCCCAGACTCTCATTCTATATAAAGAAGGTGGAAAGGAAGCAAGATCTTCACCGGGCAGAACCCTCCACCCACGAGCCGTTCCTTTCTCTTACCTCTTCAGGGGACATGGTGTCCACTAAGTTGGGGGAGTCCTAGAGAAGAGAGACACGGGTGTGAGTTTTTTCCTCTTCTCCTTTTCCTGTGGGCATCTACAAGTCGCCACCCCCGGGTAGTGTCTTCGTGAATTCAACTCATCATCCCTTTCCACTGGCAAAACTCCTCTGGGCAGGCTCTCTGCCCTCCCTATCTCAGGACGTGGGAGTGTGTGTGTGTGTGTGTGTGTGTGTGTGTGTGTGTGTGTGTGTATGTTGGGGGGGGTGGAAATGCGGCTTTCTCATTCCTCAATATGTGGGCAGAGGGTCTGCAGTTTGTATTAAGTCACAGCCAAGTGTGAGTCCCGGTTGCTATGGAAGGAATTAATGTGGTAAAGACACACTCTCCGACATCTCTCTCACCTGAGTTGGTTTCTTCTTTGGGGGATGACTTCTGCCCAGCAAGCAACGCAGCAGACTCCGAAAGACAGAGCGCCTTTGGCCTGGGAGGATGGTGAGCAGGCGGGAATGGAGAGCCAGCCCTGCCCATGGGTGGGGGGTGGGCAGAAACGCACCCACTCGGGTTCCCGAACCTTCCCTGATGCCCCACCTCCTAACTCAGCCCCTGCCCCAATTTGAAGAATAGTAGCACGGAGATTACAGGAACAAGAAGGGCCTCTGCTGGCCCCTCAGGGACCCTCCTCACAGGGGTCCCTTAGGTGAGGGGGAGGCTGGAGAAAAGCCCCAGGGTGAGTTGGGGTGCGAAGGGGGGGGCAGTCTTCACCTGCAGGCTCTGGTGCCTCTGGCTGCTGTTGGGGGCCAGGCAGTGGCCCGTTGGGCTTTTCCGGGGCTGGTGGAGCAGGAGGAAAGGGGTGAGGCGGTGAGAGAGGAGGCGTCTGTAAGGAGGAGAGAGGAGGGAAGAGCAGACTCAGTCCGGGGGGAGAGGGCAACCCCCCCCTCTACAAACCCTCACACTCGGCTCTCCTCACACTGGTCACCTGCCCTGTCAGCCTCGTGGGGAGCACAGCACCCCCTCCCCATCCCTGGACCCTGGGCATAGGCTGCTTGGGCACTGGAGACCCAGTGCTTCTCTTTCTCTGGGTTTTGCAACAATGGTTACTCCCATCCCACTTTTTTTTTTTTTTTGCTTTTTGGGTCACACCCAGCAATGCTCAGGGGTTACTCCTGGCTCTGCACTCAGGAATTACTCCTGCCAGTCTTGGGGGACCCTATGGGATGCTAGGGATCGAACCCGGGACGGCCGCATGCAAGGCAAATGCCCTACCCGCTGTGCTATCACTCCAGCCCTTCCCATCCCACTTTTTACCCTCTTTCCCTTCACCTCTCACCTGCACTGCTCCCCCGGGGGCCCTTCCTCAGCTCGGTCACCTGCGGCTTTCCAGAGAGGTCCTCCTCTTCATCCTCATCCACGAAGGCGAAGGACTCGGGGCGGCCCAGGGGCCAGAGGCCGGGGGGCGACTTCCCGTCATAAGGCAGCTGGGACAGCTTCTGGGCCAGGTCCTGGGCGGCCCGCAGCCTCCGCTCCGGGGCCAGGTGCTGCTGCAGTAAGGCCTGCAGCTCCGAGCGCTCCACTGAGCCCAGCAGGGTCATGGAATCTGGAGGCGAGCAGGGCTCTGACCTGAGGATCGGACCTGAGCGCTGCCCTCCATGGCCATCTGGTTGCTACACTCAGTAGGCCCCAAGCAGAACCAGGAGCCAGAGGTCTCCTCCCACACACCCCTCCTTTTGTTTCTTTTTCTCCCCCTCTGTTCCTTCATGCTAAATCTCTCTCTCTCTCTCTCTCTCTCTCTCTCTCTCTCTCTCTCTCTCTCTCTCTCTCTCTCTCTCTCTCCCCCTCACTCAATCCCTTTCATTTCACTCACTTAGCACTGAAGAGACCGGAGTGATATGACACTAATTGGTGCTAATTGGCACTTCTTTGGATGTATCCTAATATAGCCTGTTTGCAAAGAGGTGAACTTGGTATTAAAATGGGCTCATCAGCCCAGTCCCAAAAGAGTATCCTGAAGAGGTCGTCACACTGCTGAACGACAAGTGCTCGTCAAAAGAGGTCTACCAGATGTCTCATGTGGAATCACTTAAGCAACTGGGTCCTTGTATCTTTAGTCTCTGCTTTTCCTGGGCAGGTCTTTAACGTGTTTATTGCAATACTGCTCTGTCATGAACATTTTAATTAAGCTCGAAGGCCATAAAACTGTAGCCATTTCTCTAGATATTCTTGCCCTTCAGAATTTGCCATGATTATAAACACCCTATCTGTCATTGTCTGCAGCTGTTCCATGGAGAGGAACTTAGGTTACTTAAAGGTATTTGGTTGGAGTGGAGAAACTATAAGAACCAATATAGCTTGAAAGATTTGGATACTCTAATGATCTGAGATCAGAATGAAACACTTTACAGCTTCAAATGACCCTGCCTGGTTTTCTTTATGACTTTGATTGAAGCATGATGCAAGGATTTATTTAACCTAGTTATTACCTATAAGGAGGAAGTTAGAGATAAGTTATGATCTCTATCCTCAAGGAATGCTGCCAACCTTGTCAGAATGGACACAGAGGGGCTGGAGCAATAGTACAAGTAGGGCATCTGCCTTGCACGCGACTGACTGAGATTTGATTCCTAGCATTCCATATGGTCCCCCGAGCACCACCAGGAGTAATTCCTGAGTGCATGAGCCAGGAGTAACCCCTGTGCATAGCCAGGTGTTACCCAAAAAGAAAAAAAATGGACACAGAAACAACCCACAAGGAGCACTAAGCTGGACTAGGGATAAGGTTGGCAAGTAAGGAGGAGGATTCTTCTCCCTAAGAACCAAGGAGAAAGTCTGATGGCAGAAAGATGCTGGAGGGACTATTGTGACTATTGTACTAAGCCTGACCCTCCTTGCGGGACAGTTTCATCTCCTCTGGTTGGGTCCAGAACAGGTATGATTTGGCATAGTGGAAACAGGTAAGATTGATAGCAACATTGGGGCCAGAGCCATAGTACAGCTAGTAGGGTATTTGCCTTGTACTCGGCCAATCCAGGTTCTATCCCCAGCAACCCCACCCCAACCGAGCACCGCCAGGAGTAATTCCTGAGTTCAGAACCAGGAGTAACCCCTAGACATTGTCAGGTGTGATCCAAAACCAAACAAGAAGATTGACAGCCACACCTCCTTTTTCACTGATTGACTATTTGTGAATCTGCCTCCTGGCTAGAACCTTGTGGGTTTCTGAAATTAAGGAAGTGCTCTCGAGGGCTAAGACTGGACAGAGCCTTGAGGCATTTCAGTGGCTCCGTGCAACTGAGGTTGAACCAAAGGACTTTGTCATCTCATCTAGTGTTTGTTCTCACAGTCAACAGACGCTCTTCTCCTGGTCTACTTGGCACCATCTCTTGTTTGTTATAGAGTTTAGGTGGGGCTGGAGCATATCCAAGCATACCCAAGTGTTTGGGCGGTTACTTCTGCCTGTTCTTGGGGATTGCTCCCAGAGGTGCCTGGAGAACCACGAGGTGCCAGGGATTGAAACAAGGGCCTCTTGTGTGCAAATCATGTGCTCAGTCCTTTTTAAACTGTCTCTCTGGACCCTACCATTTTTAGGGGGGAAGGGGGTGTTTTGTTTCACAGTGGCAATTTTACTGTCTAAAATTACCCGCAAGTGAAGTGCTGAAATTCTATCTGATATTTTCGAGTACAAGACTCCATGAGGTGAGGAAATAGGCACGTTTCACTCAGGCACCAGCAAGTTCAATGTTGATGACTCAACAGTGTATATTAAATAATGGGTCTTTCAAGAGAAACCACATGAAACAGGAAGAAGTATTGATTGGTTGAGTAAAATATTGTGACCAGGAGCTTGCAGTTACCTCATCCTGTATTTCCCCTAGGGCCAAAGTAGCCTAAATTCAGTGTTCCAGGGATCCTACAAAACACAACTGTAGGGGGGCGGAGTGATAGCACAGCGGGTCAGGCGTTTGCCTTGCATGCAGCCTATCCAGGTTTGATCCCCGGCATCCCATATGGCCCCCCAAGCACCGCCAGGAGTAATTTCTGAGTGCAAAGCCAGGAGTAACCCCTGAGCATTGCTGGGTGTGACCCAAAAAGCAAAAAAAAAAAAAAATAACAACAACAAAAAAAACACAACTGTAGGGATTAATGAGTAGGAGTAGTATCCAGACTTGGGTTTCCAATTGTCTTCTTGTGCATATGTCATGGTTGTATTTTCCCTTCCTGGGGGAGGAACATGCCCCCTATGGACCCTGAGCTCAGCCACTTGTTACTGATAGTGTGCCCCAAAAGACAAGCCCACACCTCAGGTCATCCTCTACTTGCATGGAATCCTGACTCCTGGGATGAGTTGACTTTATCCCACTGACCTTTGGAATCAACCAAGGGTAAAGTCTTGACCGTGGTGGTCTGGAGCAGAGTTTTCAACTCTCCATACGTGCAAGTAGCTGACACAAACTTCACATCACGAACCATGATGTCTTCAACAAAGATTGTAAATTTGCTACGAAGGAAGAAAGCAAGGTGGGGAGTAGGGGTTAGTTCCCACCATAAGTCCAGCCCTTTCGCCCTCCTGTCCACGGCTCCCCATAACGTTTGCCATGCATCGGATCACGCAAGGATTCATGAAGCACATGGGGGAGTGCAGCCATCAGTGAGTGGCCGTAGCTCCTAACCCAGACCCTAACCTCCATCTCCCTTTCACCCCCGCCCCATCCAATCTGAACTGATTCCAGCTGGTGCCCCTGACCTGAGCTGGTTCCAACCAAGGTCAGGCAAGTAGGGAAGCTTCTTGACCTGGATGATACTGTCATAGAGGGAGGGCTGCAGGCTCTGGGCCACCATGTTGGCCAAGATCACAGCCACCATCATGGGTAGGATGTGTGCAATCTGACCCGTCAACTCGAAGCAAATCACAGCCGTGGACACTGTGTGGGACACGGCGCCCGTGAGCGCGGCTGCTCCTGGAATGAGACACAGGAAGGAAGCTGTGCATATTAGATCGACCCTTGGTGTGGAGACCCGCCCAGGATGATGACACATGGGGAACCGAACTGATCAGCGCCAACCCACCACTGTTTATCTAGACTGGGGGCTAGAATATTGGACTCTTAGAAAATCATTGTTTGGCACAGAATGATTGCACTCATTTGTGGGATATAAAAATACGTAATAGGAGACTAATATCCGAGGACAGTAGAAACCAGGGCTGGGAGGAATTGATCACTGTTAGAAGTTGGCCACAGGTGGGTCAGAGGGTGTGCAGTTAGGAGAGGGAAGGGATCACTGTGGCAATGATAGATGGAAATGATCATTCTGCATAAGAACTGAGTGCTGAAACTATGTAAAGGGATATACATGATAACCTTTCAGTACCTGCATCGCAAACCATAATGCCCATAATAAGAGAGAGAGAGAGCAAGAGAGAGAGAGAGACAAGTGCTTGCAGGTTGTGGGGGAGGGGGTTGACAGGAGGGAAACTGGAGACATTGGTGGTGGGAAATGTACACCTGTGAAGGGACAAGTGTTGGAACATTGTATGACTGAAACCCAATCATGAACAACTTTATAACATGCATCTCACAGTGATTCAATTGTAAAAAATTAATTAATTAAAAAAAGAAAATCATTGTTTGACATTATTAGATAACCTTCAGTAAGCTGTAGAGCTTGGAGTATGCCAATATTTTAATTTATAAAATAATCTTATTTTATAGTCATGTCTTATTTATTTATTACTTTTGAAAGTTTGGCTCAAATTGAGCATGCTAAAACCGAGTCCTGGAATTTTATTTTCGATACCAGGTTTTTATTCCAATAATTTATAAATGAATATCCAAGAATCCCAGGGCTGGAGCGATAGCACAGTGGTAGGGTGTTTGCCTTGCACACAGCCAACATGGCCGACCCTCTCGGAGAGCCCAGCAAGCTACCGAGAGTATCTCACCCGCACTGCAGAGCCTGGCAAACTATCCGTGATGTATTCAATATGCCAAACACAGTCACAACAAAAGTCTCCAATGGAGACATTACTGGGCCCGCTCGAGCAAATCAATGAACAATGGGAGTTCAGTGACAGTGACAGTGATCCAAGAATCCCAGTGGGCACTAAAAGCCACAAGCTTCATGTGTGTGGTCCCAGTTCCGTTATTTCTCGAATGTCTGAGTGAAACTTAATTCTTCTGGAATGTCATGCATGTGCAAGGTAAAAAAGGTCAATCAGATATTTAAAAACACTTGGTTCTATATAGTCTTGGAAGATGAAATTCTTTTAACTTATTTTTGTTTATCATGTCTCAGTAGCCCAAAGAATGCACTAAACATCAGTACTTATCTTATTTAACTGTGGAGGGAATTATCCAATGAGAAACAGTACTGAAGAAGGCATTCTTGAAAATGGAACAAGTAGGGGCCGGAGTGACAGTACAGCGGGTAGGGCGCTTGCCTTGCACGCAGCCGACCCAGGTTTGATTCCCAGCATCCCATACGGTCCCCCGAGCACCCCCAGGACTAATTCCTGAGCATTGTCAAGTGTCAAAAGCAAATAACTAAATATGGAGCAAGTAAGTCACCAAAAGGAAATTTGGGGGTGGGGAACTAGCCTACTGTCTGGTGTTCATGTTCATGTTTTAGAATACAGATTCTCTCGGGAGAGAGGTATACTGGGAATTGCCCTTCAGGAAGCTTGGGAGCATAAACCTGAGAGGCACAAGGATGGTAAATAAGGGCAGATGGTTCTTCCTGGTGAAAGAGTCTTTTAGAGAGAACTGTGTGAGGGAGGATGGTCACGGCATGCACTCTAATGCTGGTCAGTGTGTGGGTACCTAAGGGAGGCATGATTTTCCATATTACAGGGTTTCAATGGAGAAGGGAAGAAGAGAGGTGGCATAATAGTTTGGGGTATTGCATTTGGTCACTGTTAAACATGATTCTGTTAGAATGGAAGAGTAGGTTTAATGAAAAAAAAATTATAGACTTCCCCTGAAATGTTAGAACTATTAAATAGCTCAGAAGTCATTCTAGAATAAGGAAAGAAAGTCTCAGAAAGGCAACTGCTTGCTCAGGATCATTCAGGTGACATGCGGCAAAGGAAGTTCACAATTATGTATTTTTGTTTGTTTCAGCTTAGTCATGTGTTCTAAAGTCCCCAGAGATATTAGTAAGCTGTAGGTTGGGATCATCCAAACCAGTCACTTGCACTGTTGCTTCCATGGTTCTTCGGAAGCAAGCAAAAACCCCTGACCAACTATGCAGACACAATTCTGGAAGTTTTTATCCTGATTATCTCATTTAATCCTTTATAATTCCTTTACTACATGAAGAGGCTCAGGCTGAAGAAATTCAGTGAAACTGAATGAGAGGCAGAGCCGAGGGTTGGCTGCTTGAATGCGAGTTGAATTAAACAGGATTAAATTTAAATAGCGTCTGAAATAAAGACGCCATGGAAGTATCTGAGCACGGGGTTTTGAGGTACCCTCTGTTGGATTACAGAAGAGGTCGTGGCTCACCAATGACTGCGTAGCCCCCAGGGAGGATCTTGTAGAGGATGCCGTCAAATAAGATACCATCAGGGAATATCATCGCCATGATCTCTCCTACCAGCCTCCCAAAAGCAGCTCCTAGAGCAAGGAGACAGAAAGGACAGACGGCGTGGGATCTAAGATCTTTATCCTTTGTGTTAGCAGAGTCAAGTGCTCTTGGGCAGCGAAGATCAGGGTCAAGGTCCTCCCCCCCACCCCCAACATGGCAGGCCTTCCCTTCTTTCCCCAGAACCCTTGATGGCAACTGTCCCTGAGGTCCCAGATTTCCCACCCAAATGTGGGGACTTACCTAATACAAACACAGGCATGAAGCCCCCGCAGGGGATAGGCATAGTGGTGGCCACGATGGACATCCAGAACTGGGGTAAAAAGAGGCGTCAGCACACCCTCTTGACTCCGCCCCATCTGCACATACACACTCATACTCCTTCCCACATACTTCTCCTTTATCCTTCAAGAGTCCCAGAAACCCGGGATTACTAATCCTCCCGGAAGCCACACTGCTGTCACCCTGGCCCCTTATCCAAAAGACTCAGGGGTCTCAATGATCACCAAAGAGGACAATCATAAAGTCACTTACTTGGGGATCTATTCACTAATAGGACATCTAGAACAAGAAAGGGTGGCCCAGAGGACCCGATCGCTCTTCTGAGAGGGCTAAAAATCAGGGCGGGGGGGATGGGGGGGGCTGGAGCTATAGCACAGTGGGTAGGGCGTTTGCACACAGCCGACCCGGGTTCAATTCCCAGTATCTGATATGGTCCCCCAAGCACCGCCAGGAGTAATTTCTGAGTGCATGAGCCAGGAGTAATCCCTGTGCAATGCCGGATGTGACCCTTACCCAAAAAAAAGCAAAAAAAAAAAAAAGTAGAAATCAAGGCGGTCTCTCTTAGCTCAAATAGTCCATCTCAAGCAGCCTGAAACTCTGGAGGCAGAAGAATACATTTTCCTGCAGATTATATTTCTGAATAAGAGTCCCACTTCTAAGTGGCAGACACTTTATAGTCCCGGTGACTGGCTTGCTGTGTGACTAACACGATCATTTACAAAGCTACTTAGAGAATCTCACCAGGAACCCCGAGTGCAGGCTGTCCTGCCCGAGAGACTTCCTTTGACGTCAACTCGCCTTAAATAAAGGATCCAAAAAAGAAAAAATCCTATCTGTCCTGGTCATACTGGAGGGCACATAGAGAAAATCAGAGAATTCAGCCAACATAATTGAAAAGATGTCTACAGCTTTTTGGTCAGTTTCCAACAGAAATTGGGAACATTTTAGCAAAAGCAATGTATATATTCTGTGGCAAAGAATAACACAATATTGAGAAATAGAGTGGGAAAGGGAGTAATGGTAGAATTTTTGAAATATCTGTAAAAAGAAACCAGAAAATGAGACATAATTTGTAAATTAAGCAGTTTTGTATCACATCCCAAATAAGTCAGTTTATCTTAGGAAAGGATAAGTGACCTAATTTGGTGAAAGATGGTCATAAATGAAAATCAGAATAGATTGTTAGGGTCAAATGATTACAATTGAAAAACCACAGCTCTTGCATCAAATTTCTCAATTTCCTGAGCCATCAAGAGAATTTCCTCAAGCCCGATCTGATCATTAGAACACAGTGACAAAGGCCCTGAAAAAGTCTCATCCCAGTTCTGAGAAACGTTTCACGCCAGAATAGGATGTTTAAAACAGCTGAGATATGAAAAGGCAAATGTAGAAACAGATCTGATAAAAACTGAAAATTGTCTCAGTATATAACAGGAGTGTGTCTTGTTATCACTGCTTCCTCTCTGCATGGAGACAGTGCTCAGTCAATGCAGGTGGGACGGAGGAAGGAAAGAAAGGAAGGATGAACGAAAGAAGGGATGGATAAAGGAAAGAGAGAAGCAAGGGGAAAATGGGAGGAGGAAAGAAAGAAGAGAGATTGGTTAAGTAGTATTCATGCTGTAATACTGCCATTTATAATCTATTTTTCCTATTCCAATGAACTAAATATATTTTTCATACTTATTTGGTCTTTAATCACAATTCTTGGCTCCCCCACACCACAGCTCGTCATTAGTTTTGAGAGTGATAGAGGGTTCTTTGGGTTTGGCGGATAGGTTTTGGGGAACACCTAAGGATGGAGGCCTCCCTCCTTGAGAATCAGTTCTATGACTAGAGCATTGGAACTTTCAGTCCAAGCCCCAGACCTCTAGGGAGCAGGGAGGGACTGGGGGTTGAATGCCAATGAATTAATCAGTCATGCCTAATTAATGAAGATTCCAGGAAGACCCCAAGGATGGCCTGCAGAGAGCTTCTGGGTTGGTGAGGATGTAGAGATTTGGGGGCCAGTGTCATCCCTAGAGAGGGCATTCAGTTTTCGTGTCGTCTCTGTCCCTTGAGGTCGGCATCATCTGCATCTGCCCGAGTAACACATACAGCCAATACATTGGTCATCTTGTGAGGAAACGTTTTTCTTGAGTTCCAAAATGAGCTGTGCTAGCAAATGAATAAAATCTGGCGAGGGAAGTGGAGTGGGGTTCCCAGAAATGGCTGAGTGGCACGGGCTGCCTGGGGATGGCCCAGCACCTGCCTTGCAAGAGTGAGGCTGTCATGAACTCCTGCCCACTTTCTGGGTGGGACCTCTGGCAGCACTGACATTTGGGACGTCTGGCACCTGCGATCCAGTGAATGCAGGCTCCACAACCAAGTGTGCATGACTCCCAGTCATCACGATGCCCAGAGAGGGGGGTGGCTGAAAAAATTGTTTTAAAAAGCTGAGAGAGGGACCGGGAGATAGCCCAGAAAACGCACTTAGCATGTCCCTGGCAGGGGTTTGATTCCCACCACCACAGGGTCCCCTGAGCACTGCTGGGTGAAGCCATGGAACCCCCCCAGCACTGCTGGGGTGGTCAGAGCATGCCCGGCACTGAAGGGCCTAAGTGACATCATGTCGTCAGGCCCTTACAAGGATCCCCTGGCCTGGGTGATCAAGAACCACTCATGGGACCCCTGGAGCTCCTAAGCAGAGCTTGGGAGGACCCCCACCACATATAAAAACAACTCAGGAGGATCTACTGAGAGCTGGTTTGGGGCTAGAAGTTTGGCCAGAAATCAGCAAACGGTCTGGGCTGGTGACTAATGGCTGAAGTCTCTGAGGCACAAGCTCAGAATCTCCAGTCCACAGCATGGGTCACAGGTCAAGGATCACAGGTCATAGCCTGGACTGGCAACCAGCATCCAGAGCGGATGGTTGTCTGGGGAGATTGAGCCTTTAACCCGTGCAACGGGATGCCACCTCCAGGTGGACAGTGTCAGCTGAAATACTGGACACCTGACAGGGTTCTGGGAATTGCTTGTTTGTATAGACAATGGAATTGGGTCCAGGATCCCCTGAACACTTATGACGCGGAAAAAACACTTCTCAACACTATTTTCTGCTACATACCCAAGAGTAACACGCTCCTGGACCCTTGTTTAAGCCACCTCCGGAGGTGACCACGTCTGGCCGAATAGTCCGTGTTTGTGGTCCTTGGACTTCCCCTTCCTCTTCCTCCTCCTCTTTCCCCCGGTTGCTGCTGATGGTATGGGCAATGACTAGGGTCGCACACAGGCCTGTGTGGTGTTGCTACATTTTAGCTATGGTGCATGAGGGGGCTTGCACGTTGGCTTTCAGTGCTCCCTTCAGGGCTGGCGGGGTGTTCACTGAGGTTTTCACTTGTCTGAGTTGTGATGCTTGCACCCAGACTTTCTGGGGAAACTCCAGTGGAGGACCCCACATTTTGGTTTTAGAGCTTTGCCAGGGGCTGTACTTCGGCTGGCACTCTCTTTTAGCCGTGATGCCTAATGGGGTGGGATGGGGGGGGACGGTTAGGGCTCTTTTCTTGCGACATACCTGGTACAGCTGAAAGTCACTGCAGTGGTGGAGACCACAGACAGTGGAGCTGCCAGGGTCATGCTCAACTCATGTGACTGTACCGGGGACTAAACTCATGACCAACTGCTTGTGACACAAGCGTTCCAAGCCACTGAGCTATTCCTCTCGGCCTACTTCATGTTTCTGAGGCAATTCAGACATATCCTAGTTTGAGACTTATTGAGCTGTTAGGTGCCATATCTTTGGCATAAGTACATCAAATCCAGAAGTTCTGGAGTTCTAAAAGCACAGATAGTACAGATAATGTTTGACCTGGAGATCCATCGTCTCAAAGGATGCACTTTAGATTCTCATCCAAGACAAGAATGGTATTAGGATTCGAGGGAGCTGAAGTTTTCTATCCCTTTAACACAAAAGATGACAGAGGAGATCCACAAGTTTTTGAGCTATGAACGCTTGAGAGGAGTGATCTGGAAGCAAAGGAAGTGGTTTCAAAGATTCTTAACACCCAGAGTCAGGGAACTGGGAAAGCAGAGACCCTTTATCACCAGCTCTACTTCACTCAAAGGAGCAGTAAGATTATGCAAAAAGAATCTGACGGAGCCTCCAGCCACGCGGCAAAGATCTTAGTCAATAACGTTTGGCTTACTTCATGGGAGATGAGGGCCCAGAGGAATAGTGCAGGGCCTTCGCCTGCTGTGCCAAGTCCCTGGTGTTCCAGATGTGTCGCGTGCGATTCTCACAGCTCTTGGCCTTGGGCTCTGCTGTCTGTGAGCCCTGACACCAAAATCAGTATCCAGGGGCAGCAGAACAAGCTGAGTCTAAACATTACCTGGGTGGACCCCCAAGCAAGCATCTCCACTAAAAAGATGGGTCAGCATCACGGTCAGAAAATGCAACCTCTGGCGAGCAGGTGTGTAAGCAGGGCGGCGACATCAGAGCACACCACAGTCACACCTGTGTGCTTTGACTCAGACTGAAACCCCAAGAACCACAACTAAGGGGGTGCCAACTTCAGTGGGCACCCTGCCAACACAGCCCTGGCAGCCAACACAGCTAGGAATGGAGCAACCCCCAAATTTCTCAGCAATAAAGGGGATGGAAGGGGGGATTTTTTAATTGTTTTTTTTAGGGGGTCTGAGTAGTGGGAAGTAAATTTATTTTCCAAGTTCGTGATTTACAAAGAGCTAATCTTTTGCACGTTCCAAGGTGAGCATATTGGAAACATCCTTTGTCAATGTTATAGGAGCTGAACTGGGTCATCACTTATTTTGGAGGCGGAGGTGGGGGTGGGGGAAGAAGTTAGGGTTATACCTAGTTTTACTCAGAATTTGTGGTTCTGTGCCCAGAGAACCAAACCAGGATTTGCCACATGGGAGGCAAGAGCCTTAACCTCTGGACTGTCTCTCTGGACTGTTTCTGCGCCTGAACTGAAAATTTTCTCTGCCCACACTAGTATTGATACATTGGCTAGACAGTAAGTCAAACCGGGTTGGAGGGGGAGAGCCCTAGCAACTTTCACTTGTTCATTCTTTGTGGCATCTGTGGATTCAACCCAGAGGCCTCACCCAACCAAGGTAGGTGCTCTACCACTGGGTTACATCTGCAGTCTCACTTTCACAGGTTAATTAAGCTGTGCAACCTATCACCCACACTTAGGGGAAAAAATAAGGGTATGATTACAAGTCCAGTGATAGTGAAAGGATAGAGGCTGTGATAGTGTAGGTCAGATTATAGAGTCACAACACTGAATGGTTTTATGACTATAAACCCATAACATTCTAGTGTGTCTGAAAACTCTTGGATTTACCAGAGAGCACAGAAAGAGTGTTAGCATCTGTTCCTATGGCACTTATTATTTAAATGCCACCAAGGATATAATTTAGAGAAAGATAAATGACAGTGACATATAGTTGAATCTTCATGTATAATCCCAACTTTATGCATCTTAGAATAAACTTTATGCATCAAGTGGAATGCAGATACATACTTGGGGACATGAGTGAGTTAAGGTATGAGATGGGAAAATGTTGAAAAATGTACAGAATAAAAATATTTTGTTTTTTTCTAAAAATACTTAAGCTTTTGGAAGTCACCATATAATTTAGTGTCATCTTAGAACAATACCATTATCATTATTGAACATGACCTTCTGAAATGCCATCAGAAGTTGGACTTGGTTTCTGCAGGTGGGTTTGCTGCAGAATTAGTCAAGGTTGGATTTATGAGGCTGAATTTGTGAAATTATAGCACTGCACTGTCCTCCCGTTGTTCATTGATTTGCTCGAGCGGGCCCAGTAACATCTCCATTGTGAGATGTTTGGCATATCGAATACGTCACGGGTAGCTTGCCAGGCTTTGCCATGCGGGTGAGATACTCTCAGTAGCTTGCCGGGCTCTCTGAGAAGGGTGGAGGAATCGAACCCAGGTCCACTGGGTCGGCCGCATGTAAGGCAAACACCCTACCTGCTGTGCTATCGCTCCAGCCTGTGAAATTAGAAGAGGTTGAATTTATGTAATAGAGGAGATGAGCTCTATATTGAACGCCCCAAAATCAAATTCTTAGCACTTCATTATGACAAAAATATCAACTACTTTGGAGTCAGATGCACTCCTCTTTCACCAATGAGGCCGGCCAATATCAAATACTTTGAAGACTTAAACAATGATTCCCAAAGGTGGATACAAAACAAGGAAGCTTTCGACCCATGGCGCCCTTCCAGAGTAGAGTGGAATAGAGCTTACACAAGCATAGTTTCCAGAACCCACAGCAAATCTGGTAAGGTAAAATGCAGCATCGAACCTGGGGTGCTGAGCTCCTGGCTTCTCTCATCATAGGTAAATACATTCCATCAGTGTGACAAAGAGGGGCATGGAAAATGACTTTTCAATGATAAGCGTCAGAGCTGCCAAAGATTAACAATTAGGTGTTCTGTATTTGGCATCTGGCAGGTATGCCATAGCATTTATTAAATAAATGAACTCGCTATCGCTGTTACAAGACAAATATAACTTAGTGACTCATATCCTGGGGAAATATAGATTCATGAAGTGTCATGAGTAAGTTCATAGCAAGGGATTCAAAAGCATGAAAGGCCAGAATGGACAGACTTTGCAAGCGCTAATATACCAGGGACAGTGCTGGATTATTTAGGGTTATCGAACTATTTGTCTACTTTTATACTGTTCGTAAAGCAAGCATCAAAAAGGAAAAATAACCAAGGCCATCAGCTATGGTAAGAGATGTCACAAGTAGGTGTGGAAATAAAAATATCTTCTACAAAGAAGGCAGCATTTGAGAAGTCTATAAATATATAAGATCCTTAATGGGTGGGTAAGAGAGAGAGAGTTGTGGAGATGAGCTTTTGTTTCCTAATTAAAGTTAGAAGAAAACGCCTTCAGAATGCCAAGATCCACCCTCACCTCACCATCTAAACAGAATAACAACATTTATGAAAATTATTTATCATCACTAATAAAATTGATTTAAATATTTCATCTCTTTTGCAGTTCTAGAAAAGAGATTCCCCACTAGGCTGTTGGGGAAACGAATCTGCAAATCATCTAAAAATGGATAATCAGATACATGGAGAATGAAGTAATTCTCTCGGAAGGTGGGGGATTGGGCTCATTTATCTGAGGTTCTTCCATGCTATCTGGGTTGAGGAACTCAGTCTTGTCCTTGTTTACTTGGCCGCTGGGGTGTCTTAATAATTTATCCAGTGGAGCCACTGGCTTATTGGTTAGAATAACAATGGCAACATCACTCAGTTGACGTGAAAGGAGCAACTGACCCAGATACGGGTTTACTCTGACGGATGAACCACCGGCTTCCACCAAGGGCCCCTAGCTTTGGGGGTTGGACAAAGACCAGCTGCCACTGACCATGGAAGACCAGCTTCCTCCCCGATTCCAGGCCTGTGGCCAACTTGAACGCAGCTGGGAGCTTAGAGAGGGCCGCAGGGAGGTGAGAGGTACCTTCATGATAAAGAAGAGGAAGATGATGATGACCACATTGACCTGTGGGTGGAGCCACACAGCTGACCGGCCCAGGCTCTCCGGGTCACCTATGTGTCGCACCCAGGTGTTGTTGTCAAACAGAGTGCTGATGGCTTCCCGAGGCATCAGCTGTGGAGGACAGAACGCACCATGGGCAAGTGCTGCAGGGACCCCTGGCACCTCCTCTTCTCCTTGAGAACTGATCCCTCAGTCTCACTAGTCAAGGGTCTGCCTTGTTTCTGGGGAGGGTCATCTGTTAGGGACAGCTGTGCTGTTTCCCGGTTTCCTGGCCCTGGCCCTGTGCTCCAGAACCGGCCCCCCAACCCCACCCTCTGCTCCCCTGCCCGCTGACCTCTCCAGCCATGAACTGGCCCACTCCCGGCGGGAAGGTGAAGGAGGCGATGACAAAGGTGATGACTGCGGGGTACAGCAGGCGACTGAAACAAAAAAAAAAAACAACTTGCATGAATCCTCTCCCCCTCGAGTGAGTCAAGCGCAGTGGGCCAGCCGCTGTGGGCTCCATTCTCTAAACAAAGGGCAGCTCGCCCACACCCCTGAACAGTCACCGTTCAAGAGGAAACCATCGGGGCCGCCTTCGCATTTATCACAGGCTGCCTAATGGCCTCACACCGATTGCCTTCTAGAAGGTTCCAGGGCAGAGAGCAGAAAGTGGGTGGGCAGGGACAGAGAGCAGTGACTCACTGCTTAGCCAGGAACTGGCTGAGGGCCTTGTGCTTGCGGACGCCCAGCGTGACCTGGCGGTGCAGGTACACGAACACGGCTCCCAGCAGCCCGCAGCAGATCCTGAGGACGCAAGTTATGCAGAAGTGAGAGCTGGCCGCCCGCTGCAGGGAGACAAACAGCGGGTGTCCACCCTCCCCTCCCACCCGCCTCCCCCTGACGTGACCCCACCTACACCCACACCATCCCCTTCCCTGCCGGACGGGAGACCCCTTGCCCCCGGTCAAAGGCCACCTCATCCCCCCCTGCCTCACCACTCCCAGAGCAGGTGACCCCCCTGACCCGATGAAGGCGAAGGCTGGGAGTTCCTTCAGGTCAAAGGTGAAATCCATCCGGAAGTTGGTTCTGAAGAGAGCGGTGATGGTGACTAGGGGACAGAAAGGCCATGGTGCGAGGTATGACGGCCACCAGAGGTCAGCCTGAGGGCTCGGTCCTCCTTTGCTCCCAGTCCTGGGTCTTTCCTTCAGCTTCTTTTTTGTCTGGGGGGGTGACCACTACCTGCCCCCTCACCCCCCACCAACCAGGTTGGCTCCTGCATCCCTGGGCCTGGCTCCCTGACCCAAATGATGCCACCTGCTTCTTCTGTCCTTCTGAAGGGAGACCTTCCCCTCCCCCACCCTGGGCCGCCACCCCCCCTCCTTCCCTCCAGCCTCCTGGGGTTCTCCGTTATTACCTGCATCCTTGTTCCACACAGCCAGTACCCGGAACACAAAGGCACTGAATGTGGCCGCGAAGAAGCCACGCCAGTAGTTGCGCACCGCAAAGTAGGTGGAGGTGACCTCGATGCTGAAGAGCACTCCTGGGGGACGGGATGGGGGGTGCAGAGCGGGAGGGGGGATCAGAGGCAGGTACTGGAAGATCCCAGGGGTGGCCTGGGGGGAGGGAGGCATGGGTGGCAGACACCTGGGGGGGTCTGACAGCAACCGTGAGGGGAGATTTTGCTGAACGGGAACCACACTGGTGAAGCCACAGAGAAAAAGCAAAGATGTGTTGCAGGAGGTCCAGCCCAATCCGGTGCTTTTCCCTGCCTGCATGGACATGGCCTGCAGATGGGCATCTATCTGGGCTCTGGGCTCTGAACTGGCGCTGGCAAACCTCTGGCTCTGCTGCTGGTGCTAGCGGATGCAAGGTCTGGAGAGGATGGGAAATGGGCAATGCCTCGATGCCCACCAAGCCCAAGGACCAGATGGTCCTGCCCTCTGCATCCTTTAAAGAACAGGTGGGCGAGGGATTCACCGCGGGGCCTGAACGTTATGAAAATGGCTAGGGAGGAAGCATCCAGAGCACGACCGTAGAGTAACTGAGTGGGCTCAGACGCAGTCTCCCTAGCAGACCCCTCACCTCATCTGCGCCCCCCCCCCCCCCATGTCCCTGGTATCCCAAGGCATCATTATGAGAAAGGCATCTGAAAAACAAACAGGTGAGGACTCTGGAAGAGTCTACAATGCTCATATCCCAAATAATGACATGGCGGGGGGGCGGGGCGGGGGTGTCGTGGGATTGGCGGTACAAATTTCACAGTGGGGGGCTGGAGTGATAGCACAGCGGGTAGGGCGTTTGCCTTGCACGTGGCCGACCCAGGTTCAATTACCAGCATCCCATATGTTACCCCGGGCACCGCCAGGGGTAATTCTTGAGTGCATGAGCCAGAAGTAACCCCTGTGCGTTGCCGAGTGTGACCCAAAAAGCAAAAATTAAATAAATAAATAAAATTTCACAGTGGGGACTGGAGTGATAGCACAGCAGGGAGAGGCGTTTGCCTTGCATGCTGCTGACCAGAGTTTGATTCCTGGCATCCCATAGGGTCCCCCCCCCCCCCACAGCCTGCCAGGAGTGACCATTGAGCACAGAGCCAGGATTAAGTCTTGAGTCTTGCTCTGTGTGACCCCCCAAACCAAACCAAACCAAACCAAACCAAACAATACCAACAGCAATAACACTCACATGGAAAAAGCTGACGTTTCAAAGGAGGAAGACAAAGGGGAAGTTAAGGGGCTTGAAACAACGATGGATGAGAAGGTGGGAAGTGAGGGAAAGACAAGCTCAGGCTTGAGTAGTCGACTTGCTGAGAGCAGGCGCGAGAGCGGAAAATGAGGAGGCGCGTGTGGACACAGGGCGCGAAGGCACACCCAGGAAATGGGAAGAAAACTCTGGACCAGACAGAATCTCTCCTGCCTACAGTTTCACTTCCCAAGCATCAGTTATGTGGTCACTGAGGTTCAGCGTAGTATGTCTAAGCGGGTACTTGAAGACAGAGAACACTTTTCCATGACTTGAATTACAGCCTCTGATACTGGTTCTGTTTTTGCAGTTGTCCATCCCTTCCTGGGCCTAATTTATAAACTATCCCAGATCAGAGCTACATGCCCCATCCCTAGGGGGAAACAGTGCAGGGAAGACTGGCCGCTATCCAGAGTTGCAGCCACCCACTGGGTGGGTCTCAGCCCCCAGACTATGGGGCACTCCTGGGTTCGGAATAAAGGAACGGGCCTTGATTGCATGCAAAGTCAAGATTGAGGGCAAACACGGGCAGTGAAATCTGAGGACAGAAGGAAGCTTACCATGGCAGTGAAGGGGGTTGTGAGGAGATGGGGAATGGGGGCGGGGGGGAGGTGGGAGGGACACTCGGATGATGATGGAGGGAAGCAGACACTCTGTACTGGAAGATTTTCGGCATGAAATCCTATCGTTAACTGTAATGCAAATGACTGTGCTAAGATTTTATCTATGTGATACTAAAATTTTGTATATAATTTCAATGTATTTATGATATATACAATGCACTGTCTTCCCATTGTTCATCGATTTGCTTGAGTAGACCAAGTAACATCTCCATTGTGAGACTTGTTGTTACTGTCTTTGGCATATCGAATACGTCACAGGTAGCTTGCCAGGCTTTGCCGTGCAGGCGAGATATTCTCAGTAGCTTGCCGGGATCTCCAAGAGGAATGAATATATACAGTATAGATTGTATATATAATTTTTATATATTTATATTATATATATACATATATATATATATGGGCTGGAGCAATAGCACAGCAGGTAGGACGTTTACCTTGCAAGCTGCCGGCCCGGCTGAGTCGGGTTCGATTCCTCCTTCCCTCTCGGAGAGCCTGTCAAGCTACTGAAAGTATCTCGCCTGCACAGCAAATCCTGGCAAGTTACTCATGACATATTCGATATGCCAAACACAGTAACAACAAGTCTCAAAATGGAGAGGTTACTGGGTCCACTCGAGCAAATCAATGAACAATGGGAGGACAGTGACGGTGACAGAAACTGGGCTACACCTGGTGGTGCTCAGGGATCACTGCTCAGAGCATGATATGGGATGCCAGGGGATCAAACCTGACTCAACTGCACGCAAAGCAAGTGCCCTCCCTCTGTACTATCTCTCCAGCTCCCTCACCCTATAGTAGTAATAAAAAAACAGTCTGTAAAACCCTAGCAAGCCTGGCAAGCTCCCCGTGGCATATTCAATATGCCAAAAACAGTAACAACAAGTCTCACAATGGAGACGTTACTGGTGCCTGCTCAAGCCCATCAATGAACAACGGGAGGACAGTGCTACAGTGCTATCAAAACCTTAGCAAGCTTCCACGCTATGAACAGTGAGAAGCCCAGGGGACACAGCACAGAATGAGAGAGACGGGCAGAGGGAGGCCCCAGGGGAGTCATTCTCCCCACCACCACCATACACACACACACACACACACACACACACACACACACACACACCACTCAACAGCAGCTCTGAGTTCCCCTCCCTGTTCTCTAGTCCGAGCTGCAGAGCCCTGCCTTCTGTGCCCCAGGGTCACAGTCAAAGCCCATCTCTGAATCCGGGGGCACCCCCCATCCCATGGGTGACAGGCATCACTGTGAGACACTGCTAGGGCAGCCCATGTCCTAGCCTGCACCGCCCTCAGAGCACCTGAAGCGACGCCAGGGACAGTTCACATGCCTACCTTTCCGCTCCTGACTCTGGGGGAAGTGGTCATTCCCGCAAAGGGGAGTCCCTCACCCTGCAGAGTCCCTGCCTCTCCCAGAATTTAGGATTTGTAGAGCTCTGGCCACTGCCAGATTTGATCATGCGTTTACATCTCTGTCCCCCACTAGGATTGGAAGTTCCCTTGAAGCCAACACCTAAGTCAGTACCCGGCACAGAAGCTAGGCTCAATGGCTATTCTATGGAGGATTTAGAGAAGGGAGGAGAGGAGAAGGGGAGAGAGGGAGAGGAAAAGAGAAGATGGAGAGGGGAGGGCAGGGAGGGATGGGAAAGGTGGAGACAAGGGAGGGAGGGAGAATGGGAAAGAAAAGGAGGGAGATGACTGGCTAAAGAAACTTTGGTACATCTACACAATGGAATACTATGCAGCTGTTAGCAAAGATGAAGTCATGAAACTTGCATATAAGTGGATTAACATGGAGCGTACCATACCAAGTGAAATGAGTCAGAAAGAGAGGGACAGATATAGGAAGACTGCACTCATTTGTGGAATATAAAGTAAGAAAACGGGAAGCTAACACCCAAAGACAGTAGAGACAAGGAACAGGAGGATTGCTCCACAGCTTGGAAGCCAGCCTCACATGCTGGGGGAAAAGGCAGTTCAGATAGAGGCGGGACCACCAAGTAGAGGATGCTTGGAGGACCCACTCGGGATGGGAGATGTGTACTGGAAGTAGACTATAGACCGAACATGTCACTGTCACTGTCCTCCCGTTGTTCATCGATTTTGCTCGAGTGGGCCCAGTAATGTCTCCAGTGGAGACTTTGTTGTTACTGTGTTTGGCATATCAAATACATCACGGGTAGCTTGCCAGGCTCTGCCGTGCGGGCGAGATACTCTCGGTAGCTTGCCAGGCTCTCCGAGAGGTGTGGAGGAATCGAACTTGGGTCAGCCATGTTGGCTGTGTGCAAGGCAAACGCCCTACCGCTGTGCTAAGACCGAACATGATGACCACTTAACACCTGCATTGCACACCATAACACCCTAAAGGAGAGAGAGAGAGAGAGAGAGAGAGAGAGAGAGAGAGAGAGAGAGAGAGAGAGAGAGAGAGAGAGTAAAAAGGGAATTTGCCTGATATAGAGGCGGGGGGTGGGATGGGGGGGGGGATGCTGGGAACATTGGTGGTGGAGAATGGGCACTGGTGGAGGGATGGGTACTCGATCATTGTACAACTGAAATGTAAGCACAGAAGTTTGTACATTTGTAACTGTATTCCATGATGATTCATTAAAAAATATTTTTTTAAAAAAATGAAAATAAAAGGAGGGAGGACAGAGGGGAGAAGAGAGCGAAAGGGAAGGAGAGGAGAAGGGAGTCAAGGTGATGAAACTGGAGGTAAGGGAAGGAAAGGGGAGATGAAAGAAGGAACGGAAGAGAATAGAATGGGTGGAATTTCAGAGAATGCAGTGAGGAATCGGGCAATCTGGGGCACACAGAGCTTTGCCAAGCCCCTTTGCACCCCAGGTCCTGAAATCACATCCGGGAGGCAGAGGCCTCACTTGGCCCAAAAGGAGGATTTGGCCCAGTGGAACGTAGGGTTCGGGCTTCCTTAACCCAGTAGAACAGCAAGACTCCCTTTGCAGTACCTGAAGAAAACCAAAGACCACTCTGATTTGCCTGGGTGCAAACTTCCCAACTCAGCAATAGTTTATAACCGAGTTCTGAAAATCAAGCAAGATTTCCTTTCTCACGACGGTGCCGGGTGACATTGCCCTAACAGCCGGTCACTGTATCCTCAGGAATGAGAACCAATTTGAATAGGATCCTGCACCAAGGACAGAATGTGCTGCTAAAATTAGGAAACAAAGTGCTAAGCGCAAGACAGGTTTGGGGAGTCTCTGCTCCCAGTGAGGTGGGTGTGCATCCCCTCTCCCGGGTGGCAGGGATCCCCCTTAGTCCTCTCCTGCAGCTCCTGATTCTTCACCCCACCCAGAAGCTTCCGTCAGTCTCATTCATGCCCCATCTTTAAACACCTCTTACATGCGTCTGGCTAGCCAAGGTTTTTGTTTGTTTTGTTTCTGGGCCACACCCAGCAGTGCTCAGGGCTTACTCCCAGCAGAGCTTGGGGTACCGTATGTGGAACCAGGGTTTGAACCCAGTTCAGATGTGTGCAGGCAAACACCTTATGACATTACCACTGTGCTATCTTTCTGATCCCTTGCCAAACCTTTTTTTTTTTTTCTGGCACCTCCCTTCACTTTAGATGCAGTGTCCTATTTATCCACAAGAACCTCAACACATTTAAAACTGAGCTTGATCAATCTCCCAAACCTGTATTTCCTATTCAACCTACCATCTCCCCAATTTTCTTTGCTATCAGCTTCCTCGTGAGATGAGATTTCTCTTCTTTAGTCTTTCACTCCCACTTAAAATTAGCCACATCAGTTTTATTTTCTTAATTTTTTTCCTCCTTTTATTTTGGGGCCATACCTAGTGGTGCTCAGGACTTACTCCTGGCTCTGTAGTTAAGAATCACTCCTGGTGGGCTCTAGCAAACCATCTGGGGATTCAGGGATTGAACTCGGGTTGGTTGCATGCAAGGCAAACACCACCTTATCACTCTGGCCCCCTAGTATTACTTCCTATGACTTTTCTATGGCTTAGACACCTCAATCATGTTTCTCTCTCTCTCTCTCTCTTTCTCTCTCTCTCTCTCTCTCTCTCTCTCTCTGTCTCCTCTGTCTCTCTGTCTCTGTCTCTGTCTCTCTCTCTCCCTTCCCCCCTCTCTCCTGCTAAACAGTATCAGGATACTGACAATAGTGTTTTTGTTCATCTTGGATTAATCTTGTTCATCAAGGGGCTAGTCTAATCCTGCCTACATCTGCTTTGGGATACAAAGAACACGTGAAACTAGCCATGTCCGCTTCCTTGTTCAAAATCCTCCGTCAACTCCCTTTCGCTGGTGACGCTTTTCTTCTTCTTGTTGCAGCTATAAATGCCATAAATAAGAGCTCTTTCTGGTACCTTTGGGAAAATTGTAGATTAGAGAAAAGAACCGTCACGGGGTGTGTGTGTGTGTGTGTGTGTGTGTGTGTGTGTGTGTGTGTGTGTGTGTGTGGTTTATTAGGTCATTGGTGATTTCAGTCCCTCTCTAACTGTCCAGACCCATTTCCTTTATTCCTTTCAATCCTGGGCAAAGCCTCTTCCTTGCAAAAATCAGTCCCCAGGTTTTGATTGCCTGGAGGCTTCGTCTGTCCGGAATGGTTGGCCTTCACTCTTCTCGCTGCAAGTTCTCACTGACTACTCAAACCTCTGCTCAAATACTGTATCTTTGTAGGGTAGCACTGTAGCACTGAACTCCCATTGTTCAGTGATTTGCTTGAGTGGGCCCAGTAACGTTCCCATTGTGAGACTTGTTGTTACTGGGCTTGGCATATCGAATAAGTCACGAGGTGCTTGCCAGGCTTTGCCGTGCGGGTGAGACACTCTCAGTAGCGAGGGACTCCAGAGAAACCCCAGGGAGTTGGGAGGAAGTTCCCTCTGCCTGTTCCTCAGGGCACTAAGACACTGTATACCCTCTGAGCCTGTTTACACCTTCAAAGTAAGCCCCCGCCGGTCACCCAGAACAAATAAACAGAATGCACCTCCCCCAAATTGTCATTTTAGCAATACGCTGAGGTGCACCACAGATGGAATTAAGAATTTACAAGACAGTAGAGTGAGTTGGGTGTTTGTCCTGCATGCGGCAGGAGTGATCCCTGAGCACTGAGCCAGGAGTGATCCCTGAGCACTGAGTCAAGAGTGATCCCTGAGCACTGAGCCAGGAACCTGAGCACTGCCGGGTATGGCCCCAAATAAACAACACCAGAAAAGCCCTGACAGGAGAGGAGTTGAAGACGGCTGGAGTGTGGGAGAGCGGTCTTTGCCCATGGAAGCTCAGGGTTCGGTGCCCGGGTCTGTCTGGACCCCTAGCCTTATCGAGAGCATCCTGGAGGCAGAAGCTGCCCCCCTACCCCCACCTCCTGCCACAAACATCACCAGGTGTAGCCCAGAGAGCAAAAAGAAAAATAAAACAGAGGGAACAAGTGATCAAAATGCTACTTGTTTTCCTTTCCCTAGGAAGCCACGCTTAACCCACGCTAGTGCACACCTTATTTGCCACAGAATCCAAGTACCCTTTCCCGACCCTTTGGTCGTGCCAAGACAATGCTTCCTCTGCCTCTTCCCTTTGGGCTCTACCCACCTGGAACTCTGCCTTGGACCAAGAACCGTCTGCAGGTCTCTCAGGAATGGTAGTTTCAGGCTGAACACACGGTCACTTAGCAAGTAAACATCTCTCCACTTTCAAAGAACCTGACTGATCAGGGGCAGGGGTGTGTGTGGGGGGGGGGTGGAGTCTCAGTGTCTACCTGCCTAAAAACACTTTCTGGATCTTCTAGATTTGTCAGACACCAGAGCTAGCAAAGCAAATTTAGGTTATGGGGTGCAAAGTCGCATGCATGCAGCACCCCATGGAGTGCCACTTCCCTGATAAGACCCCAGTCCCCGGACTGGAGTTGATGGAGGGTTTGGGGAAGTGCAGGGGAGTCGGAGATGAACCAGCTCTGGAGCTGGAGTGAGCGCTCGTGAACTCCACACACGGAGCCTTGAGGCACCCCTGGGCCAAAGCATCCCCCACGGGACGCCTGGTGATGAGGCACCTGGAAACGCACCTTCCCCAGGGGCTGCGCTCAGGAAACAGGATCGCCCCAGCCTTTGGCTTCTCCAAGTGCAGACAGGAGGTGCTTTTTTTCTTTTTTTTATCATCAGCAAATCCAATCAGTGACCCCGAATAATCCCTGCTCCTGTTAATCTGCCTTCCACGGACATTGCCGGGCCAAAAAGCACATGCAGAGGCCAGAGACTGAGCGAGTTGGCCACTTGCATGGCATGCGGCTGACCGGGGCTGGGTCCCTGAACCACACGGTCCTGTGCCTCAGAGCCAGGAGTGGCACCTGGGTACCCTTGGGGACCCAGCAGTACCCTTGGGTTCTACTGCCCCCTCCCCTCAATATATGCAGAGAGGGGGAGGGCAGGGTGTATGTGCCCTGCACGTGTGAGGCCCTAGGTTGCATCCTTCTCTTTCTCCCTCCCCGCCCAATAGACAGGCAGCCTCCCCTGAGACCTCCGTGTGACGCAGCACGTTGCCTCTCCACCGTGGGCCTCGCAGCACGTTGCCTCTCCATAGCTCAGCCCGTGTGCGGGACACTGCCCGCACAGCCCGCTCAGAGCAGCTGTTCTGCCTCCTCCTGTTTGAACCTGTAAGGCTTGCAACTCAGGGAGGCAGGCCAAAGCCGGAGCACGGCCAAGCGAGCCATGCGGGTGGGGGGGGGTACACTTGCCTCCGAGCGGTGTCCCAAAACAGCAGCCGACGCCCACCGCACAGCCCACCGTCAGGGTGTCGGTGTAATAGTAGGGCTGCTACTGGGGGAGAGATGGGCAGGGGGGAGGGGGGAGAGAGAGAGGGAGAGAGAGAGAAAGAGAGAGGGAGAGAGAGAAAGAGAGAAGAGAGGGAGAGAGAGAAGGAGAGAGAAGAAAGAGAGAGGGAGAGAGAGGGAGGGAGAGGGAGAGGGAGGGAGGGAGAAGGAGGGAGAGAGAGGAGCGGGCAGGGGAGGGAATCAGGCAGGGGAGACATAAGTCCCAGGCCTGGCACACAGCCCCCTCCCGTCCTGCCCAGACTCCCCGCCCAGCAGAGCTCCCGGTGAGCGGCAAACAGGAAGTGACCTCCCTGAGCATTCCTGGGCAGGGCCAGGCCCGGGAAAGGAAAGAACCGTCGTTGGGGCCAGCGCGTGGCAGGCCAGCGAGCCAAGAAACAGTCAACCCCCAAGAGCAAGAAAGGCCAGTCACCCGCCCCCCAACCGAGAGGCCGGAAGTGGACTCGCTCCGGGCGAGAGGTGTCACTAGCAGGAGGGGACAGGCCGGAGACACGGGATCCCTCCTGGGGGTGTCGGGTGCTGGGGTCACTCCCTGAATGCCCTCCCGCCCATCCCGCCTGCAGCGCTGCCCGCCCTCCCCCTCAAAGCAGACAGCACGGTGAGCCCACCCCCACACCCCCCTCCACATCAGGCTCAGCACCCCACTGGGAGGAGGGGACTTGCCTCCGATGGGAGCGGCAAAGCAGCACCCCACGCCCACGGCGCAGGCCGGCACCAGGAGGTCAAGCTGCCCGGGCACAGTCTGCAACAGAGAAGCGCGGGGACACGGGAGGGCCGGGCGGGACACGGCAGGGGACCAGCAGGTGCGGGCGGGCGGCAGGGATGAGGGGCAGAGGGCCCCGTGGCCGGAGTGGTGGTGGGAGCGTGTGTGACTGGGGGAACAGGGCTCAGCACGGTGCCCCATGCCAGCATTGCGGCCAGCCCAGAGCACAGGCAGCCCCCCCCTTCCCGCGGCCACCCCGGCCACCCCCACCCGCTGCCCCCCACCGCCCGACATGACTGACCCTCCCTACCTCATAGACGCCGCAGAACACCGACATGAACTTGCTGAGCACAGCTGCACAGATGCTGGCGATGTGGACAAAGGGGCCCTGGCGGGCGGGAGGGAGGAGGTGGGTGAGGTTATGGGGAGACTGGCAGGGTGGTCTGGACTAAACATTTAGGGCCCCGGGCTCGGGACTGGGTGCTGGGATGCACCCGGAAGTAGGAGGGCATCCCTCCCACCTCGCCTCTCTATTCATCCCCACCCAGAGAGGAGGGTGGGAGATAACCCCCGCCAAGTGTCACTTCTATGTCATTTGGGTGCTGAGGGCTGTGGAGCAAATGACACGAGAGTCGAGGCGTGGTTAGAGAAGGGGTAGGCCTGCAGGTCAGCGCTGAGGGACCCCCCGTAGAGAGCTAGCCACGTGGGCGTCAGGGGAAGAAGACTCCCCGTCATAGAGGGAGCAGCAAATGCAGGAGCCTGGAGCGGGTCCAAGCATGTCTGGGGGTCAGGGGAGGGCGGAGGCTGATGCCAGCCCAACCCATGAGAGGCCGTTTGCAAGGACGGGTTCCTGGGCATCGGGAGGAGGTGGGGGGTCTGGCCTCCCGGGAGGCCCCCCGGGTGCCAGTTTGGATTTGACTCCAGGTAGACCGAAAGCCACTAGAAGTTTCTGGAGCAGAAGCCAGGTCTTACTGATTCCATTTCGAAATGACAGTGCTGGCCTCAGAGTGCGTGTGTGAGGGGCCAGAGCGCTAGCACGGCCAAGCTGGGTTCAGTTCAATCCCCAGCACCACGGAAGGGTCCCTGAGCCCTGTGTGCGGATCCAGGAGGAAGCCCTGCGCACGGCCAGCGTGGCCAAAAAATAACACACAACGAGAGGCAGGGGTGGGGCGGGCAGAAGATGCTTTACAGGCTGGGTGCAGATTTTGCGCCGGGAGTCCTGAGTTTGATCATCCCAGTTCCGGGATCCTGGCACATTCGTGGGAGTGATCCCCACCCCCCAAGACTCCCCTCACCCAAAGCAGCAGAATGCCACCCTCTTGAGTATAGCCTTGGGGACAGCCCCGCTTCTTATCAATGCCCACAAAGGAACTGGTCTGGGCTGTGCTAAATCACCATCTCCCAGTCGCCCTGGGGGACACGTGGCCTCCCAGAGGACATTCCTCTAAGTCTGGACACTTTCCGCTGGTTCCAGCCCGGGGCCGCTGTTGGCATCCCGTGGGCAGAGGCCAGGGCTGCCTCCAAGCATCAGGTCGGGCATGGGGGTCCTGTCCCCAGCAGCCCCGGCTGGGAGCGTCTGCTCTGGGCTCTGCTCATTCTGCTCTCCACACCCCGCTCCCCGGGGCTCCTGGGTCAGTGCGTGCCCAGAACTCGGGGCCTCAGTGTCCCCCAGCCCTCAGCCCCGCGGACCCACCTCCTTGCCCACGGGGATGCCGCTGCTCAGTCCGGCCGTCAGCGCCACCACCTTGGCCACGAAGGCCTTGAGCGTGAGGTACTCCTTCAGCACCACCCCGCGCAGGATGGTCTTCATCTCCGGGATGCCCGAGCCTGGGAGGGTGGCGGGGGCGAGAGGGGAGGTGAGTTCGCTTTGATAAAGCGGTTACGAAGCCAATTTATTTATTATTTTTTTCTTTTTTGGGTCATACCCGGCGATGCTCAGGGGTTACTCCTGGCTCTGCACTCAGGAATCACTCCTGGCGGTGCTCGGGGGACCATATGGGATGCCGGGGATCGAACCCAGGTCAGCCGCATGCAAGGCAAACACCCTACCCGCTGTGCTATCACTCCGGCCCCACTTCCTTTTCTTTTCGGTCTGTTTTAAGCTCCTGGGGTTCATACTGCCGTTCGTGCTGGTTTTAGGCAAACAGCATTCCAACCCCGCCCCACTCCACCCGAGTTTCCTTTCCCGCTACCTGCTCTCCCTCGGCCGCCTCCCACCCCCACTCCAGATAAGCTTAGTTCCTTCTAGAAGCTCTCCTGTTTGGATGTCTTTGGCTCTCGATAGCCCAGGGAAAGAGAGCAATCAGATTTGGACAGTGGAGGTAGAGGAACAACAGTGCACATATAGATGAACAAAGTGAAACTTGAAATTAAAAAAATAATAATAAAATAAATAAAGAGAAGGGAGATGAGGACACGGTGGGGAGGGCGTGGGAGGGGGTGTGGAAAGCAGGTGGAGGTGTGGCAGGGCTGGGTGAGGCCACCTGTGTGTGTGTATGTATGTATATGTGTGTGAGTGTGAGTGTGTGAGTGTGAGTGTGTGAGTGTGGGTGAGTGTGGGTGTGTGTGAGTGTGTGGGTGAGTGTGTGTGTGAATGTGTGTGAGTGTGAGTGTGTGTGAGTATGTGAGTGTGAGTGTGTGAGTGTGTGAGTGTGGGTATGTGAGTGTGAGTGTGAGTATGAGTATTGTGAGTGTGTGAGTGTGTGTGAGAGTGAGTGTGTGTGTGAGTGTGGGTGTGAGAGTGAGTGTGTGTGAGTGTGAGTGAGTGTGAGTATGTGTGTGAGTGTGTGTGGGTGTGAGAGTGAGTGTGTGTGAGTGGGTGTGTGAGTGTGTGTGAGTGTGTGTGAGTGTGTGAGTGGGGGTGTGTGTGAGATTGTGTGTGTGAGTGTGGGTGTGTGTGAGAGTGAGTGTGAGTGTGTGTGAGTGTGAGTGTGTGAGTGTGTGTGGGTGTGTGTGAGTATGTGAGTGTGAGTGTGTGTGAGTGTGAGTGTGAGTATGTGTGAGTGTGTGTGTGAGAGTGAGTGTGTGAGTGGGTGTGTGAGTGTGAGTGTGTGTGAGTGTGTGAGTGGGGTGTGTGTGTGAGTATGTGAGTGTGAGTGAGTGTGTGTGAGTGTGAGTATGTGTGAGTGTGTATGTGTGCGTGTCTGTGTGTGCAGGGGGGCGGGGGTGGCTGCAGGATGCTGCCAGCCAGGCCCCCCAGGGAAGGAGCGGACGGGTGTGTTTCTCACCGACGGCTTGCGGGGAGATGAGCTGGCAGAAGAGGGCGCTGAAGAGGATGAGGACCAGTGGGAAGGTGACCCAGGCCAGGAACTGCAGGGCGAGGTTGGGCTGCATGCGGTAGTAGGTCCACTTGTAGGCTGCAGAGACACCGGGCAGGGGCTCAACTCCAAGGGGCTGGGGTGCGGGGTGAGGGGTGCGTGCAAGGAGCAATTCTCATGGGGGGCCGGCCCGGGGGCGGGCATTGAGTCTCTGTTCCCCTGTGACCTGTGTGTGAGGGGGACACACCAGGGCCCTCTCCCACGGCAGAGGAGGAGAAGAGGCCCAGGTGGGCTGTGGGGCTTGGAACCCAGGACTTGGGACGCTCACGCTGGGAAAGCAAGGCGGAGTAAGGTGGCACCGAGCTCGCAGTTGGAGGGGCAGGAGAAAGGGATGGGGACAGATGTGGGCTGTGAGGGCCCTGCTCCCCAGCACACCCAGTCTTCCCCAGACAGGGCCTGGCGGGGGCCACCGGCCCTTTGCACCTACCCTGCAGGGCTTTGGCGCTGATGTAGTCCATGCACCAGCTGACCAGGGCCATGAGCAGGCCCAGCAGCACCAGGAAGATCCAGTCTTCCCCCAGCTGTCTTCTCACCGCGCGGCCCAGGCGGCGGATACAGTCTAGGAGGGGGTGGACGTGAGCGCAATGGGGAACGCAGAGTCACTGCTTCCCACACTGCCCCTGGCCGAGTTCCCTGGCTGTCTTCAGAGCAGTGGTTTGCAAACCCTGGGCCGCAGCCCAGTGCTGGTCTGCAGACTTTGGGTGGTTTTTTTTTTTTTTTTTTTTTTTGGTTTTATGGTTTTTTTAAAATTTTTTCCCTGACGGTCTAGAGAAAAGTCACAGCAGCTGGACACATGCTGTCTAGATGTCAACACAGCATCTTCCTGACACAGTGCTGCAGTCTCCCCACAGGGGCATTGGCGGATTTCACACCAACACCCTTGAAGTTACAGATTGATTTTCCCATCAGAAATGGAGAAGTGGGGGCTGGAGCGATAGCACAGTGGGTAGGGCGTTTGCCTTGCATGCGGCCAACCCGGGTTCGATTCCCACCATCCCATGTGGTCTCCTGAGCACCACCAGGAGTCATTCCTGAATGCAGAGCCAGGAGTAACCCCTGTGCATTGCTGGGTGTGACCCAAAAAGAAAAAAAAATAAAAGGAGAAGTGAACTTTAGCAGGAAGCTTACTGCAGGGAAGAGAAAGGGGGCATAGGACAGAGGTGACACAGGGTGGGAGGGCAGGGAGGGGGTATCTGGTGGAGGGTGTGGTGCTGGGAACTCTATCATTAAACAGTATTTTATTTATTCATTATGTATTTATTTATTTTTTGCTTTTTGGGTCACACCCAGCGATGCACAGGGGTTACTCCTGGCTCTGCACTCAGGAATTACCCCTGGCTGTGCTCAGGGGACCATATGGGATGCTGGGACTCGAACCTGGGTTGACCGTGTGTAAGGCAAACGCCCTACCCGCTGTGCTATCGCTCCAGCCCCTACACAGTATTTTAAACTATGGTGCTTAAAGCTAAAGAATAATAGTACAGAAAAAGAATGTTGTGGGGCTCGAGTGATAGCACAGCAGGAAAGGCATTTGCCTTGCAAGTGGCCGACCCAGGTTCTATCCCCGGCATCCCAAATGGTCCCCCCCAGCACCACCAGGAGTGATTCCTTCGAGCAGAGCCAGGAGTAGCCCCTGAGCATTGCTGGGTGTGGCCCCTCCAAAAAAAAACAACCAGAAAATAGAAATTTGTTTTCTCATGAGTCCAAGACCTTCTGCAGTTAGCATTTTTGTTTACCGCTCAGTTTCTGGTTATTTAAAATTTAAATAGCGATGGGAATTTTTTATTTTTACTGCATAATATCAGACTTTAAAAGCAAATATGAAAACTACGACCGTAATTTCTTTTCAATTCCTGCCTCAGCGGTCTGTGCAGTGTGTCTCCTATTTGCACTGCACCAGGGGTGTAAAAAAGGTGAAAGACCATACGGCAGAGTGAGCACAGCGGGCAAAGGCGCTTCCTTTGCATGTGGCTGATTCGAGTTAGAATCTGGGCACCACAGATGGTCCCCAGCACTGCTGGGAGCGACCCTCTGAGTATAGAGCAAGAGTAACCCCCAAGGGGCTGCAGCAATTGCACAGCGGGTAGGGCGTTTGCCTTACAAGCGGCCGATCCGGGTTCGATTCCCAGCATCCCATAGTGTCTCCCCTGAGCACCGCCAGAGGTAATTCCTGAGTGCAGAGCCAGGAGCAACCCCTGTGCATCGCCCAGTGTGACCCAAAAAGAAAAAAAAAGTAACCCCCAGGGGCTGGAGCAATAGCACAGTGGGTAGGGCGTTTGCCTTGCAAGCGGCCGATCCAGGTTCGATTCCCATCATCCCATATGGTCCCCGGAGCACCGCCAGGAGTAATTCCTGAGTGAAGAGCCAGGAGTAACCCCTGTGCATCGCTGGGTGCGATCCAAAAAGAAAAAAAAAAGTAACCCCCAAGCATCACAGGACCCAACAGCGCGCCCCCCCCCAAAAAAAAAGGTTTGAATACCAATGGTATACAGGGGCTTGTCTACACTCGTGGAATGATTTTTTCTTTGTCCCTTTCAGAAGCCCCCAATCCAGCTCCCTGCTGGAACCTTGAACTTCTTTCGAAAAACCCTGGTTTCCTCTGGGTTGCTGGGGGCAGGGTGTTTGGGGGGCAGTTTGCGGGGGGCGCTCCCTGTCCGAGCGCTAGAGGGAGCTTTGCAATGACTGCGACACCTCCTCCCCCGACCCTGCGAAGTTGCCCTCACCTTGACACTTGGAGTAACGCTCCTCCTCCCGGCCATCCTCAGAGGAGCTGGAGCCCGTCTTGGTGGGCGCCTCGGGGGGCTGCTCCTTGCTTGGAAACTGCTCTTTGCGGTGGTGCCCGTAAATCTGCACACAGGGAGCGAAGGCCGGGGCCATGGAAGCATTCAAAGGAGGCAGCCAAGCCCCAGAACACAGGAACCAGCTGCCCTGGGCACGGACGCCCCCTGGGGTAGCCCTTCTGCTGCCCACTGAGTCAGCCAGATGCTTGGTGCCAGGGCTGGGCACCCGCAGGGCATTTGGCCGGTGGTGGTGCTGAGCTCAGCGCTTCCCTGGCCCCTCTGCGCTGGGTCCTACTTCTCACACTGACCCTGGGGCAGATGAGGAGGGTGGGCATATGCCCATCCCACCCAGGGTGGAGGGAGGGGGAATCCTCAGACTTAGACAAGCCCCACCGTCCCGCCCTAGCTGCCTGGGCCACTGTGGGGTGAGCGCCTCCCAATCTGGTCCAGAGCAAGCTCACCGGACGTGGGCTCCGGAGAGGATGCAGAGTAGAAGTATGGGATGGCCTGCACCTGTGTCTGGGGAAGTGGGGGAGCCCCACGCCCGCCCACTGCTCTGGGTCCAGGAGGTGGGGGCGGGGACTGCCAGGCCCCAGGAGATTTGATTTCACTCTTGTCACCTCTGGCAGTCAGTGGAGTTTCTGCCCCATGCCTGGACCAGCCCCGGTTGCCACTAGATGAGGGACGAAGGCAGGGGATTTCCAGGCAGAGGACACTCTCATGAGTTCCTCTGGGGGTCCAGGCGGGTAGAGGAGAGGAAGGCGCCACCCCCCATGGATGCCCTGCAGGGAGGGCTGAGAGGCAAGGGCTAGGGGAGGGGGAGGGGAGGAGGAGGCGGGCTGCGGGTGATGATGGGACAAGGTAGTGGCTGGTTGGGGGTCTGGGGTATGAGTCGGGGGCCCAGGGATCCACAGACTAATTTCCATCCTGCGGGTTAAGCCGAAACCCAAACTCTTTCTGCCATCGACACCCAGTGAAACCCGGACCCATGCTTCGGGCCCGGTGCCTTCACTTGCCCTTTCCGACAGGAAAAGCTTCCGGCGGCAAGGGCCGGCTTCCTGTCAGCGCAGAGGGACCTCACTGTCCTTTCCCCCAAGTTGTCATCCCACCCCATATGACCGTGACTCCTGGCTGCAGTGGACGCTGGGCCCCGAGGGCATCTTTCTGCCCAGTGAGTGTCTCACTGCGCTCTAAGGCAGGCCAGGCCCCCTGCTCCAGTTCTTCCCCAGGCCACCCTTACAGCCACCTGTGGGGACACAGGACTGGGACAGGAACCCTCTGAGAATCTGTCTCCTTGGTCCCTGCTGTGGCTGGGGTGACCCCCCCAGCCACCCTCAAGCCTCCAGCCCCATGTAGACTCCTCAGAGGAGCAGTGGGTGTTCCTCAGCCACTGTGGGTGAGTCCCAGCTCTGCGTGGGGGTCGTTCATCTGCCCTCACAGAGCCACGTGCTGGCCAGTGAACGTCTCCCACCGCCCTTCCCGAGAAGTCCACGGCCCTCCCAGCCCCACTCCTGGCCTGGCTTCACCCTGTCACCTCAACCTCCTTGGCCTCTGGCTGGACACCTAACCCGTGCCCACTCTCCAGGGCCTCTGGGGTGCCCGTCCGCCCCCCCATGGCATATCCTTTCTTCTGCCCACGTACCTGGCATTCTCGGATCTCGGCTGCGTTGGGGGAATGCTGGGTGTGGGTGAGCGTCTAAGCCCACTGCCCACAGCTGCATGGGCTCCTACCCACCCCCGGACACAGAGACTGGCTTATGTAAGCACAAGCTGGCGTGCCTGGTGGCCCGGCCACCCCCCGAGAGCACTTGGGGGGTCCGGAAGTAACGGTTGCACATGCAAAGCCCACGAAGTGTCTCTCAGAGTGCAGCTGGGTGCAGGCTTGGCCTTTGCCAACCGTCCTGCTGGCACCCCGTGCCCAAGTACTTGCAGGGAAGGAAGGTCCCGCTGACCCCGGCTGTTGCCTGGCTCAGAGTCTCCCCGGGACCTACCGCCTCCCCCATCTCACCGCCCACTTCTCCTGCCGAGGAAACCGTTACCTGTGTGGGGTGCGTGTTGGGGCGGGGGCCGGCCCCCCTCCGGAGCCTATGCTCGGGGCCTCCGTTCTCCGAGGGCAGTCCATAGCTGGTGCAGTGCTCAAAGGGCAGGTACTGGTATTGAGGGGCGCTCCCCCACCAGCTCTGCTCTTCCCCATGCAGCTGGGACCCAGATCGCTCCATGCCCCCTCCCCCCCGGCCGCCCCCCGCGGCAGCTCCTTAAGCCTCTCCTGTGGCCAGTCCCCAAGGCGTCTGGGGCAGCATGCCCACCCCCAGCTATTTATAGCTGGCTGTCCGTCACATGACCCCCACGGGCACATCTGATCTGCTTGGGGTCGAAGCAGGTGTGAGGGCGGCGCGGGGGGGTGGTGAGGGTTGTGGGGAGAACCTGGGGTGACAGACTCGGGGGTTCCCTCGGCAGGGCTGGCTGCTCTGGCCCCTCCGTGGCCACCCAGGGACTCCCTGACCCCTGCCCCGGGCCACCTGTGCCTCTATAAATACTGCCCCACTGGGAGGGCAAATGCCTCACAGCCCTCAACAGTGCCCAGCTAGGCTGGCCATGACCCTGCTGCCCCCCAAAAGCGTGGGGAGGTGAGGAGTGAGCTGCTGAGGGGTGACCCCAAGGCCTGGGAACCCAGGGTCTTACCTGGCACAGCGGCTGGTGGCTCTCGGCCACGTCTTCCGGCTCCTGGGTTCCCGACTCCAGATCAGCCCAAGGCACCGTCCTCATCCGTCCTGTCCTCATCTCTGCGACGCTCCCTTCACCCAGTCCACCCACTGTGCTGGCGGCCAATGGTGCTCCCGGGACACCCCTGGGTGCCACCTTTATCACCCACGGGGTGTGAGCCCTTGTGGGAAACCTGGCCAAGGGCTTTTCCGTTCCCACCCAGATCGATGCGGCCAGGACTCGGAGGAGGGCCAGCACGTCCATTCCCACAGCCAAGGGCCCCTCGGGGCAGGGGAGATGGTGGGGAGAAGGGGAAGTGGGTGGCGGCCTGTGAAAAGGAGAGGGCTACTGCCCCTACAAGAGTGACCCCTGTGAAGAATGACGAGGAAGTCCTCTCTGCTCTTCTTCCCCTTTCAGGCCAATAAATGCTTGTTGGCCAAGGTCGGACAGTTCTCTCGGGCATCGTCTGTTGTGTAAACCAACCTATCTTAGGACTTTCCTTCGGTTTCAGCTCCTTCCTACAGGGGGTCACCAAGGTGTAAGGATGAGGCAGCAGAGAGTGGGGAATCCATCACCGATGGCATCTGTTCCGGGTGGTCCAAGGTCACAGCTCCAGCATATATTCAACATCTGCTCCAGCATTTCCGTTTGAAAAGAACGAGGGAGGGCAGGGACATGGCTGAAAGGAATACAACCCTCGAGGTGCATTGGGGCTGGTCAGCACCGCCCTGCAGGAGGCCCATTTGGGCAGGTCAGAACCACTCCGCAGGCCTGGAGCAACTGACACAGTGAGCAGAGTTGCAAGTAGCAGCTCTGAACCTCTGAGAATAGTTTGGGGTGGCCAACTTCTTTGTACAAAGTAACCTTGGTTGAAAACTGTTACTATGTTTCACATGTCCAGCACTGAAATTCAACTGGATATGTAACGATCTACCACCACAAGGCTACTTTGTAGCCTTTACATGTCAGTGTATCCTTTCCAACGGCTGGTCCTCGGATGAAATCATAGGGTGTATTTTTCTGACTTCATTCACTTTCCCCTGGTCCATCCATGCTGCCGCTGGAAGTGACAAGACTTCCTCTTTCCTTAGAGCCGCGTGCCATTCCACCTCAAGAATATATACCATCACTTCTTCATTCACGCCTCTGTCGCCTGACACTTAGGCTGCTTCCAGATCCTGGACAGTGTGAATGGGCTGCAATGAACATGAGGAGGGAAAGGCAGGATGTGTGTGTCTGTGTGTGTGCGCGTCTACGTGTGTGTCTGTGTGTGTGGGAGTGTGTGTATATGCATATGTATCTGTGTGTGTGTATGTACGTGTGTGTGCAGGCACATGTGTGTGTGTGTGTGTGTGTGTGTGTGTGTGTGTGTGTGTGTGTGCTGAATTGGTGATAGAAATATGGAATACTTCTGAATGAGTGCAGCAGCCTTGCTCAGGGATCGTGTGTGTGTGTGTGTGTGTGTGTGTGTGTAAAGCTTCCGAATGAGTGCGGCAGCCTTGCTCAGGGACCAGGGAGGTCCATCTCCTCTGAATCATTCCCACTGTTGTGTACGGATGGAAGTGACACCTGAAATTTGATCTAACTGAATGGAAACGCCCCAAGGCGGGACCAAGACAGTGAAAAGCAGGTTTCCTTGCCTAAATCTCATCGCCCTGGAGGCCTATAATGCACCCACAGAGATTTCGAGTGTGATGCTTTGAGGATTGCAGGTTATGTGATCCCCGTCTTCTGTGTAAGGGGAAACTAAGAGATCCAAGGGCTAGGGGTGAGATGAAAGGAATGTTTTTCCTCATCAAGAAAACAGAGTGCCAAGGGGAAGTTCTTTGAAGGGCTTCAGAAACAGAAAAGAGTTTTATCTGTGGGTGGAATCTAGTTCCCCCCAGGTAGCCCGCGATGAACTGGGAGTTCATAATCCCAAGACACGAACACTGATCGCAACTCCTCCTCCTCCCTGGTTACGGAGGAAGTCAGCCAACAGAGGGACTGGGAAATCCCTCACACTACACCGAGTCCCCGAGAATAGCTCGAACCCCCCCAGCCAGATCCTAAAATAAGGAGACTCAAAGAAATCCATGGCTGCTAGTGTTGGGCGGAGGGGGAGGACTTGAGTCACTGTCCTCAATGTGTCAGAAACGAGGAAAAGTTGAAATCTGGGTTATCTTGCCTGCAAGAGCACAAGAAAGTGTCGAGTGTACCCACCACCCCCCAGGCAGTCCCTCCAACCGGTGATGATATTGGGAAGGGCAGACAGGTTTCCGGGGAGTTCTGTTGGGTCGCTAAATGTGGAAACAGGGTCATAAATCTGCACGCAGCCCATCAGATTCGTACCAGATGCCAAGATGAGTGTGAGGAGTTTGAACACGTCTTCTGGGGGACCACAATGCTAGAAGGGTAAGACCCCATCAGAAGAAACGGCTCTGCGGGCAGACAGGGCTCCTGGGATGCAGGCGGGAACGGGCGGGCTGGTCGTGGCTGACCCTGGTCTCCTCCCACCAGTTTTCACTTCTGACCTGCTAGCTGGGCAACTGCTTTGTGCCACCAAGCCGTCTCCTGGGCCCCTTCCCACATCAATGGGAGGACCAACACCTTCCTGGCCTCCACCTGTGTCTTCAAACTCCCACCTCTTAAAGAGGGATCTCCTTAACAGGACATCCCCAGGTGACAAGTCTGCTCACAACGCCTGCCCGCCTGGCTTGGTCCCATGGTTCTCCTTCCCGAATGTCAATGAGACAGCTCTAGGTTGTCGGGAAGAAGCTTCTCCTTGTGGCCATCCTTCCGGGACGATACTCTCCTTGGGGCTCTGCTGGACCTCGCTTCCCGGATCCTTCAAGGGGCCCCAGGTCCCTCCCATGGCCCCCTCTTCCTTCCTTTTCAAATTTTTCAAACACGATTCAGTTTCCCCATCATGTTGACCTCACGAAGCTGAAATCAAGTTTTGGATCTCTGTCGCCCACGCTCAACAGGAAAAGTCTACAGCCTCGGAGTGGGAGAACGTAAAACCAACCTAGGGCCAAAAGGAAGAGGCAGGAGCACTGTGGGAAGAGCAATCCCAGGGCTGTGGTCAGTCCTGAGTTCTGGGGCTGCTGAGAAAACTGGGTATAGCACACTCTGAAGCTGAGATCTTGGATTGCATCTCAGCCTGTATGTCCTCATTCAGGTGGGAGCGTAAACTGCTGCCTGGAAATCCCTGGTTGTTTGCCCAGTTATCACCTGAACCTGAACTTGCAGTAGCCAAGGAGAACATCCTGGGGCTCTGGAGTCCAGCGGTCAGGGCAATGCTGGCCTCGCATGCGGTTGACTCAGATTCCATCTGGGCACCACCTGTGGTCCCCTGCGCAGCACCGGGAGTGTCCCCTGAAGGCAGAGCAGGGAGGACGCCCACACAGGTGTGGCCCCAAAACAAAGTCGAACACCCTGCAGGGAGACCTGCCGAGTGACCTGAGTGGCTGCCAAGCAATTCTAATAGGCTCGCTCCTCAAGATGCACCCGCCAAGTACTGAAGCCTCTTGGGGACCTTCCAAGGGAGCAGGGAGAAGAGACGCAGCCATGGGTGAGAGAGGCTGCGTCCCCGCTCAAAATCTAACTGTCCAGTCCATGCCTTTAAAGCAAACATTCCTGAGGCTGGAGAGATAGCACAGCGGGTGGGGCTTTTGCCTTGCACGCGGCCGACCTGAGTTCGATTCCCAGCATCCCATGTGGTCCCCTGAGCACCGCCAGGAGTAGTTCCTGAGTACAGAGCCAGGGATAACCCCTGTGCATTGCTGGGTATAACTCAAAAAAGAAAAAAAAAAAAAGAACGATCCTTAAAAAAAATTTTTTTTTAAATTTCATTTTTTTAAACTTTTGTTTTCTTTTGTAGACCCCAAGTCTCAAGTCCCGGAGTCCTTTCCTCTTCTGAAAAGAAAGGCAGGGTGTCTATGGGGCCAGCCAGGGTGAGGAGGCCGGCGTAAGGTCGTAGCACGGACCCTGGGCCAGCCAGATGCTTGGGCAGCAGTAGCCGTGGCCACCTGCCCTGAGCTCTGCTGTGGGAGGGGGGGGGGCGGGGGAGGGCTTCCATTCCTTCCTGTTTTCCTCCCCCCCCCCAACCAGAGAAAACAGGAAGGGGGGAGGGCACCCCCCAGCACAGGGAGGGGGATAATTTTAGAAGAGAATCCCCTGGCAGAGGGAGGCCGGGGGTGGGGGAGGAGTGCTAACAGCCAACCTGACACCCGTACTCAAGGGCGGGGTGGGAGGACGTGGCCCCAGCTCCCGGACACCTGCTCTGGGACCCCACAGAGCACAGACCCTAAAGCCCCCTGCCAGCCACCGGCTACCTCAGCCGGAAGGTGGCTCTCAGCCCACTCCCCTCCCCGCCTCCACTTCCCCTTGCTCCCACGGCACCCCCATCTCCTGTGAGACCTTCCTGGGGAGCCCCTGGCCCTGTGGACACACACTTTTGTGTCCGGCTCTCACCCCTCCACCCCTATGCGCGCGCCCCCCCCCCCCCCCAAATCCCTGCTGGACCACGCTGGCTAAGGACTTCTTGACAGCGTCACTTTTCCAGCCGGATCGCTCTGACGCCTGTCACCTCCCCAGCTGAGAAAGCCTGGTGCTGCCCGCCCGCAGTGTGACAAGGAAGGGACCCAGAGACGCCTGACACAGCAGCAATTCATAGGAGCATTTATTTGGCACCTGATGGCGATACAGCATCCTGGCAGTGGGAAGTGGAAAGGTTTTGTCACCCAAATAGGATACTGATCCGAGCGCGGGGTTTGGAGACGCCTGTCCCAACCCCTCCTTGGCTCACAGACTGAGGAGTGATCAAGCGCCTGGCCCACAACGACGACGACGACCACGGGCCGAGCACCAGGCCAGGCACCGCGGGAGCCAGGAGGAGCCGCCTCGCACGTGACAGGTCCCTGGGAGCTCAGGGAACCGGCGGATCAAACACGGCACGCAGGGACACACAGCGCGAGGACGAACCAGCGTCGGCATCCGCAGGGAAATTTGCCAGTTCTTGCGTGGGCCAAAAGGCATGGACGGAAGCCCTACTGTGTGCCAGGCACTAGGACAGAAGCCCTACTGTGTGCCAGGCCCTAGGGACATGCTGGTGGGCGGGAGAGTCCGGCTCTCGTGGTGTTTCGTGCGTAGTAGGGAACAGAGCAGGGAAGCCAGCGGGCATCTGAGCCGTGGTGAACGCACAGAGGCAATACATGGGACACGGTAATACAGAAACACAGAAGCCAGCCTCCTCGAGTGGCCTGGAAAAGCCGCCGTGAGGGGACATTTGCATGAGACTTGGGCGACACAGGTGGCACCCAGGCCCAGGGTGGGCAGGGGTGCAGTGCAGGACACAAACTCAGACCATCTAGAACCCACCGGGCAGCATCCTGGGGGAAAATGAGCACTTTTCATGGGCCTAGCGGGCAAGGTGGGGTGGAAGCGGGGACCCAAGGATGCTTTTCAGAAGGGCGCCAAAGGGCCAGGTTTCTGGTTGAAAAATCCCCAGGCCCAGACCTGTTGACGGGAGGGGGCAAAAATGGAGTTTTGTGGAGAATGGGCACTGGTGGAGGGATGGGTACTTGATCACTGTATAACTGAAACCCAAGCACAAAAATTTGTAAGTCTACAATCGCACCTCATGGTGTTTCATGAGGTACATGCCTTTTTTTTTGTTTTAATAAAAGTTTTTTAAAAAAAATGAAAAAAAAAAAAAAACATGAATTAAAAAAAAATAACAAAAACAAAGCGGCCTTGGAGAAACAGGCAGGTGTCAAACCCCGCAGGAGACTGAGCAGGCTGCCGGGTGGAACGATCAACGCACACGGACACCGTGTCCCCAGACACGGAGTGAGCACAGGAACGCGGGGGCCCTGGCACCGAGGAAGCGGCAGCGGCACCGGCGGAGATGGCAAGAAGGGAAGAGACGGGAGATAGGGAGGGAGTGGGGAGGAGAAACGAAGGAAGCATTTAGAGCGAGAGACACTTCCCTCAGGAGGGACGGAGAGAAGGCCCCGATTCACATGGGAAAGTCGTTCTCTTATCTGGCCCAGCCCACACCCTGGGCAAGGGTCACTGCAGCGCCCATCCGCGGGCCTTGGGGATCTGATGGGGCAGAGACCTGGACACGCAAACCCTCGGCTCTGCCGAGGGGCGGGAATGCAGCAGCCCTGGGGGTGATCCAATTCCCACCCAGCAACAAAGCCCTGGGGCCGCGCGACACAGGGCACCTTCCGGGAGACACCGAGCCCCCGGACAGCCGACCTAGCGTGTTACAGCAACGACCAGAGTCACCTGCAGAAAGACGCCAGACCCGCCTCCGCCAGGCTCCTCCCCGGGGGGGGCCCAGCACAGTGGGTGGGGGGGCGAGTCCCCACCACAGCGCCCCGCAGGAAGGGCCATCTGTCCCCCCAACACATACACGCATCCCAGTCCCCGCGCACGGGCGGGGAAGACCAATTCCGGAACCAGCAGCAGCGCCCAGAGAAAGGCTCTCTGCGTCCGTGGGCTTCGGGGTGGGTGCCGGGTGGCGCTTCACGTCGGGGGGTGGCCTGGGAACAGGTAGAGGTGGCGGCACAGGGTGCTGCAGTACTCGGACATCTCCTTGCACCGGTGGAACTCGGTGCCCGGGGCGTAGCCCTCGCGCTCCTTGATCAGCGCGTTCACCTGGAGGGGGCGGACGCCAAGTGCCGGGTCAGAGGGAGGGATGGGCGGCTGTGTGTTGGGGGTGGGGGTGGGGCAGGGGCAGGGGCAGGCACTCACCTGGACCAGCATGTCGGCCACGTGCATGTCGCAGGCCCGCTCGGAGAACACCTGCCGCAGGGCCTCCACGTACCACGAGCCGCGCTTGGTGTTACGCATAGCGGCGGTGCCTGTGGGCCGGACGGGACGGGCTGTGGTCACGCGCCTGGCGGGACGCCCCCTGCCCCCCCTGCCTCCGGCACCCGGTACCTTTGAGGCAGGCGTAGCCGCAGATCATGTCGGAGCGCGTGGGCAGCCGCACCTTGAGCATGCCCTCCTTGCCCGGGTCGCCTTCCTCCTCCTCCTCGCACCCGGAGGGCACCGCGCGGCTCTTGCCGTCCTGCTGGTCCACCCCGCGGTCGGTCTCATCTGCGGAAAGGCAGGCAGAGGGGACGGAGGCGTCACTCCCGCGCGTCTCCGCGGGGCCCTGTTGTGGGCCCGCACCGGGAAGAGCTCCCACCGGACGGGGACGGACATCCAGCCTGCAGCCAAGCCAGTGGGGAAGCCAAGGTCACTTCTCTCCGGCCGCGTGCGCACGGCCGCCGTCAGCACAAGCCCCGTGCACGCGCGCAAAGGCTGGTGCGTTGTCCGTGCTGGGAAGACGGGAGAAGCGGGAATGAAACGCGTGAAACAGAACCAAGCGTCGCTGGCGTCCGGGATTCCCCTGTCCAATTAGCAAGTCACCTGAAAGTCAGCGTTTTAATTGCCATGATCACCGAATACGGATGCATGAGTTTTAGTATGGAGAGGAAAGCAAACTGATCGTTAAGTATTACACAGGCACGCTCTATAAAAACCAAAACTCCAAATGTATTAAGAAGAAGAACAACAACAACTCAGCAGGAGCAACTGTTTCCAAGGTGTTTTTACATTTCTAAATAATGAGACTCCCGATTCATCATAGCGGACAATCAAGATTTATGAGAAACTTAAAAGAAGCGCACTTGGGGCTGGAGCAGCAGCACAGCGGGGAGGGCGTTTGCCTTGCACGTGGCTGACCCGGGTTCGATTCCTGAGCACCACCAGGAGTAATTCCTGAGTGAAGAGCCAGGAGTAACCCCTGTGCATCGCCGGGTGTGACCCCCCACCCCAAAAAAATCACATTTAAAACTGGGCGAGAATCTGGCTCTTTTCACCTATACCGTTGAGAAAAAACACTTCGGTTTCACTTTTGCCAGCAGCTGCCCAACAATGCCCTAAAGCACATGACTGGTTCAGCCCTTCTTCCACAGTGTATTTTAATTTATCGTTTGGGAGGAAGGGAGGAGAGTTACTGACTACAGTGCTTCTAGCTCCAGGCCACGTTCCAGAGGGCCACAAAGAAAAGTGGAGCTTAAAGAAGTATGGGGGAGGGGGGAAGGGGGGAATAGTCGGAGTCACCGATCTAGTAAAATTCCCCTGAGCATCTGCCATGTGCCATGCCCGACTGTCTGGGGCCATACATGGCCATGCCATGCCAGGCACAGCTCCTGATCTAAAAAGCCCCGGGCACAGGGAGAAGTCTCGCCCTCCTGGGGCTCACTGCAGGCTGGCAGCCGATCCAGTGTGTCTTCAATTATGGCAACTAAGACAAATGAGCTCACAATGACCATAGGTTACCCCTCGAAGGACCCAGAGGGCCTAAACAAAAGAGCCAGGGAACTCAAGAAAAGGGCCTTCTCTACCGAGACTGGACACTGCATGAGCTCACGTTGTGATCACCTGTTCTAAAGCAGTGTTTGTGGAGTGGGGGTTCCATGCCAGTAGGAAGAGGGTGGGCTCGAATGACCCGGAGGGGTGAAGACAGCCTCGGGAGCAACTGGGGTGGGGGTGGGGGGGGGCATTGGTTCCCCTCCCCCCCCAGAAAAGAGGCGGCTAAGGCAAATCAGGGAAGCCCTCTCCTGGAACCGGGTGAGGCCGAAGTCTTAATCAGCTCTCGAGCTTAAGCCTCAAATCCGTAAATCAATAAATGTTACTGGTCCTTCTCACAACAGTCTTAAGACCTTCTGCAACGTGGTCTAAGCAGATTAATTTCACCATTCATTATTTGTGAAGCGCTGCCTTGTGTCAGGCAGTGCTCTGGCCTGGGGACGCGGCACGGGGAGTTCCCGCTCTCACTGGACTTCCCGTCAGGGCAACGGTTCTGGAAACGACAGATCACCTGCTTCTTTCTGAGGGTGCCGCTGGCTCTGGGCTATTCTTTCCCGAAGTCTGAAATCTCAGCCGTGACTCCAGGTTTATCATCAACGGCATCTCCCTCACGTGGGCAGTCACCTCTCACCCACAAAGTCATCCAGCTTCTTTTGCTGTTTTTTTTGGACCACACCTGGCGGTGCTCAGGGATCACTCCTGGTGGGGACTGACCCCAGGAGGGCCACCTGCAAGGCAGGCGCCTGCCTTAGCCTCCGTCCTATTTCTCCGGCCCCAAGGGGTGCAGTTTCTGATGAGACGCGGGCATGTGCCGTGCTCTGCCTTGCTGTTTTTCATCCCGTTGTGCTTGCCGCATCCTCCTCCTCCTCCTCCTCCTCCTCCTGCCCCGCCTGCTCTACACACCTCTGGACATCTCAGCGCTCTGGTCCAACCTCAGCTGGAGCAAACCACCCCTCTAGAAAACCTTCAGCCCAAACTGCCCCAAGACAGTCCAGTGCAACTACCGAACGTGCAGGTGCTCTGGCATGGGGCCACCCTCAGCCCTTCCAACCAGCACTCTTCTCCATGTCCCTTTCTGTGGCCCCTACCCTGACCCATGCCTGCCTCAGGCCTCTGAGCGCCCCCTCGAGTGACTTCCGTGTAAAGCGGCTGGAATTTCCCGAGGCCCCGCGGGGCTGCTTAGAGACAAGGAGATCTGTGCTTCTGTGACTGCAAAAGGACTCGTGTGTAAGACCCTCAGAAATCAGATCTGGGGGCGGCAGCAGGAGGGTAACGTAACGGCAACGTTCGCCACTTAGATTTGCTGAACGTACTACAAACAAAAATAAACGGACCTGCACGTTTACAAAGCGGCATTAAGGCCAAGGCCGAGCCCCTGATCTGCAGGTGTGCTCTGCGCTCGACTACAAACCAAGCACCCTGCACGTCTGCTCTCATGACCACGCCTGAACACAGGCTGGACCGTCTTCTACGTGTTCCTATCAAGAACGGTCCAGTGGACGGACATCAAGGAGCTTCTCTAACCCGACATGACTTGCCAGGGCCAGAGACCTGCTGTGTCTCCCGAGAGCAGCCCAAACTTCTCTCGCTCTCCTCTGGGGCAGGGGGCGGGGACCTGTCTGGGCCCAGACATGGGAGGCCGCCTCCTAAAGGGACCCACAGCGCATCTGAGAGGCCAGACAGCAGCAGCTTGGGAGAGAGAGGAGTCACGGGCCAGACCCGGGTGTCCGTGTGGTGGTGCCAGCCGGGTTCATACGGGGGAAAGAAGAAAGGAGGCCCAGAACGGAAGTCGGGTGGAAAGAAGCCGGAGGAGGAAGAAAGTGGAACGGAGACAAGACACGGAGAAGGGGTGGGGTGGGGAGAGGGCGAGCGGGCGAGGAACAGGGAGCCAGCGAGAAAGATCCTTCAGGGCTGCGAGAGCGCTGCGGAGAGAAGGCGGAGGCGCCAGGCGGAGGAGGCGCACGGGGCGGGCGGGCAGGCGGGGCAGAGCCGGTCACCCCGAGGGCCGAGCGCTGCCCAAGGGCCAGCACCCCCCATGCATCGGGAGACACTTACAGAGCAAGAGAGGCGGTGGCGGCAGTGAACAGAAGGAGGTGCCCAAGGGGGTCCATAGCACCTGAGAGGAGCAAACAGGACAGTGAGAGCTGGCGGCGGGGGTGGGGTGGGGGTGGGGTGGGGGGCCGCCCGGGAGCCGCCACCACCCCGGGGGGCCCCGGGGCTGGACACTCACCTCCGCGGCAGGCTTGGACGAAGAACATTTTCGGCTTGTTCTGGAGGCTCGGGCAGTTGGCGTTGTCGAAGAGCCGGAACACCTCGTGCAGCTGCCGGGGCGGGGACGGGGGCGGTCAGCAGGGAGAGGACGGGAGTCGCCCCCTGTCCGCCCTGCTTCCCGGGGGGCCGCCCGCGCACCTGCAGCAGTTTGCCGTCCACGCCGTAGACGCCGCCCTCCACGCCGTGGGACAGGAGCGCCACGATGCAGGAGTCAGTGACGCGGTGAGCGGGCAGCTGGGCAAAGCTCTGAAGCTTCTCCTGCATTTCCTGCGAGGGAGACAGACGCCCTCAGCGTGTGCTGCGCCGGTTCAGCGCCAGCCTCTGGGGGGTGAGCCCGTGTGAGACCCTCCCCCAGTGCCACGAGGAGATGAAAGGTGGGGAATGAGTGGAGAAACACCCTTCGAGAAGCTACCGAAAAAAAAAAAAATACCCGACACTGGGACACAGAATCCACAACCACAGGGCACCAACTTTGCTTGCAGCGACGTGAAGAAACCATGTAGGAATGTCCTTGGCCAACGGGAGCGGACCATGGGCCAGCGAACGCTCCAGTTCCCACCCACCAACAGGATCCCACTTTTCGGCAAGAAAGTGTTTATTTATTGTTTATTCTTCTTGTTTATTCAAGAAGCCCCCTCGGGGCACAGACCTACAAGTGGAACTGCAGGGACAAAGGTCTAACAGGAGACCGGCCAGCAGGGCTTGTCTGGGGTGACCTGAGGTGCCCAGAGACAGCGATCACCATGCTGAGGGACGGGCTGATAACAGGGAAGGTTCCAGAGAGGGCCCTGACTCCAGCCTGGGCTCAGAGGCCGGAGACGTCTAGGCCTGACCCCAGGGTCCCTGACTCGGAAACGGTGGCCAGCCCCTCAAGGCTCTCAGGCCCGTTCTATGAGAGAGAACGGACAGTGACAGACGCTTCTCCACAAAAGGAGCGGGTACTAATACTGACTACGGAGAGCAGGGAACAAGGCCCGGCACCTGCACATGAGCATTTGGAATTCGGGGAAGATTACGAGGTTGGTAAGAGGAAGCTGACAAAGCCTGAAGTATGAGCACAGACGTTGGAGAGCAAATTTAGTTAACACTGAACCAGATTCAGTTCCAGGGGTTAAGAAGTTAAGAGAGAATTTTTCCAGAAGTCATGCCCTGTAAGATAGTTATCTGTGAGTACCCGAGAACAGATGACTGGTTAAAGAAGCTTTGGTACATCTACACAATGGAATACTATATAGCTGTCAGAAAGGATGAAGTCATGAAATTTACATACAAGTGGTACTACATGGAAAGTATCATGCTAAGTGAAATGAGTCAGAAAGAGAGGGACAGACATAGAAAGACTGCATTCATCTGAGGAACATAAAGTAACAAAATAGGAGACTAACACCCAAGAATGGCCGAGATAAGTACCAGGAGGTTCACTCCATGGTTTGGAGGCCAGCCGCACACGCTAGGGGAAAAGGCAGCTTAGATAGAGAAGGGAGCACCAAATAAAGGGTGTTGGGAGATTCCTCTCAGGATGGGAAATGCGTGATGAGAGTAGACTATAGTCCGAACAAGAGTGCCACTCAATGTCTCTTTTGCAGACCACAGCACCCAAAAGCAGAGAGATAACAAAAGGGAATGCCTGCCACAGAGGCAGGGTGGGTTGGGGGGATGGGGGGTGGGAGGGATACTGGGACCCGTAGTGGTGGGAAATGGTCACTGGTGGAGGGATGGGTACTCGATCATTGTATAACTGAAACCCAAGCACAAAAATTTGTAAGTCTACGACTGTACCTCATGGTGTTTCACTAATAAAAGTTTAAGGAAAAAAAAAGATAGTTATCTATGTACTTTTACCTTTATCTATGTACTGATTCTGATACCATCGGAGCCCTAGATTCTAGCTAATCCCTAGCCTTTGGCTGGGAGCTGGTGGGTAACCCGTGAATCCTCCGGAACAAGATGCTGTGTTTTCTGTGTGGCTGCATTTCCCAGGGATGACCTGCGCTGTGATCCCCCTGGGTCTCAAAGCAGTCGGCGACCCAAAGACCAAAGCCACAAGACAAAGGGCAATATACCAGTCAAAAAACGGTATCTCAGTTCTTATTAAATGATGAACTGCCATTCTAGAACTAGTCACCTCATGGTGATGATGCGATGGGAAAAGGCTTTGAGGACAAAGAGGAAAATCGACACTGAGATGCCCAGGAAGAGAAATGGGCTGTCGAGGGGGGTAGGATTAGCTGACATGCCACCTTTTGGATGTTGAAATAATCTCCAAAGTCCAAAGGCTGGGGGCGGGGAACACATGGGGGAGTGGAGAGAAGGTTCTTTCTTTTTTTTTGGGGGGGGGGTCACACCCGGCAATGCACAGGGGTGACTCCTGGTTCTGCACTCAGGAATTATCCCTGGCGGTACTCAGGGGACCATATGGGATGCTGGGAATCGAACCCGGGTCGGCCGCGTACAAGGCAAACACCCTACCTGCTATGCTATTGCTCCAGCCCCTTTCAGTTGTTTCTTTACTGTCCAAATAATTACATGACAGAAGCATGGAAGATCCTGAAAGGCCCCAGCGGGAGGACGGCGTCTGTGGAGACGCCTAGCACGTCAGAGCCCATTGCCACTAGAATCAGCTGGATTTGAACCGTGAACAGAGTTTAACTGGCTGTTGTCGCTCTGACTCCTCACTCTGAACCTCGGCGGGGGGAGAGGTCCTCGCATCTCACCCTTCCTCAGGGGTTTGCTGTCCTCTCGCTGCTCGCTATTTTCTCCTCCGCAGACAAACTCGCGCCCGTGAGCCTGACGACCTCAGCGGTGCGCTAGCCTCCACTTTCCATCCCTCCCCCGCATGGCCAGCTCTGGATACCATCTGGCCACTGATCTGTTTCCCACAGAGGCCTTTCCTCTAGCCGGCCAGCCTGTCAGGGCTCTCACCATGTGGCCTGAACCCCCAACTCTTCCTCCCTGCCATGGGTCTCTTTCCCAGCCGTGACACCAATGCCCCATCGTTCCCGAGAGACTGGTGCAAAGGCACCACTTTTATGCCCAGAATCCCTGGCGGTGAGGGCCCCGTGCCCTGCTCTAGGCGGGTACACATGGGGTGACAAGGGCCCCAGCAGGCCACCGTGTGTGGCCCCTGCCCCATCAACAGACTGCCTGGTGCTCTCGCGTGTTGTCGGTCCACTGCATCCCGAACGTCACACAGTGAGCACCACCTGTTTGGGACCTGTTTGGGATCCTGGGGGCAGGCAGCCCCTCCGCCTCAGTGGCTGTGACCCTTTCGGGGGCCAGCTCAAGTTCACAGCCGCCAGGGACCTTCCCTCGCACACCCGCCCAGGTGACGCCTGTCTCTCTGGGCTACTGTGGAAGCCGGTCTCCAACTGTGCGTGGGCCTTAGGGGCTTAGGGGACCAGCTTCCCTCTCTGGGGGGAGGCCAAGACCCCCTCGTCTAGGTGAGGCCCCTGGCAGTCAAGGGCGGACACTTGACACGCCGCTGACTGCTACGGGAGAAGCCACCCTCCCGCCCCTCACTATCAGGGGCTCAGAATCAAACCACAGCGACGACAAACGCAGACCAACGTAGCGTGAAGACGTGAGACGCTGACAGGCTCTAGAACCCGCAGCGAGTTCAGCATCAACACGGTGTGCGGGGGGGGTAGGCCGTGCAGGTGACTCTGGGTTGAGTTTTACCCACCGGGCTCCTCGCCCACTCACAGCACCACACTTGGGAGACCACGACACAACGAACGCCTGACCCAAAGGAGGAGGAGACACACGCCCAACCAAAAGGGGGAGGCCCGAACTGCAGGAGAAGACCGACCCCACGCCCTGAGTTTTCAAACAGGATGCCCTCTGCCGGAAGGAATCGCCTGCTGAGGAGAATGTGTTCTTTGAATAGATGTTCAACGCCAGGGCCACTAGGGTCACCTCCAGCCGTGCTCAGGGGCGGCGCAGAGCGTAGGACAGGGGTTTGAATTCAGGTCTGGAGTGTATGTATGCTCTATGCACCCCAGGCCACCTCAAGGGTTTCATCTGGTAAAGTCATCTTCGGAATAAGAACAGCACCCCAGTATCCACCACCAAGAAGTCAAAGTGGCTTCTGGATACATTTTCCTCAGCGGGGAAATTGAAGAGGGAGTTTTGTTTGAAAACGGAAGGACTGGGATTTGTCTTTCCTTTACCATTTGCTTGCTTCGAAGAAAGGTATGTTTACCTCTTCTCATGGGCTCTCATGTGAAACTGGCCAAAAAAAAAAAAAAAAAAAAAGCCTGAGAAGGAAAACACTGAGGTACAGACTGAGGAAACTGGCCTTACCAAACAGGAATTAGTCCAATAATTTCTATTGCAATTAGAAGCTCAACCAGGAAACAGACATGCAGAACAAAGACAAAACAAAGCCAGCCCCTACTTCAACAGATTCACGTCCATCTCCAAGAACCTCAGTTTTACCTCGACGGCCCCAAAGGCAAGTTTAGGAAAAATAAGTTACCATTCTGGAATGGCAACTCAGAGTCAGGATGAATTTACCGGTAGGCGGTTATCAATTCCTTATCAGAAATACTCAAGTGCTGGCCTGCAGAGACAGCACAGCAGGGAAGGCACTGCCTTGCCTGTGGCCAACCCAGCCTGATCCCCAGTACCCCATATGGTCCCCTGAACCCCAGCAGGAAGGATCCCTGAGAGCAGCGCCAGGAGTAAGCCCTGAGTGCAGCTGGGTGTGGCCCCAAATTAAAAATAAACAAACAAAACCCCAAGTGTGATGCAAAGTGCAACTGAGTAGCTGAGGCTGATAGGGATAACCCATGATAAAGCTAGTTCACTCAGTCTTCCTTGATGAAGAATAAGGCACTTCTGGGGGCAGGAGCAATAGCACAGTGGGTAGGGCGTTTGCCTTGCATGTGGCCGACCCGGGTTCGATTCCCAGCAACCCATATGGTTCCCCGAGCACCGCCAGGGGTAATTCCTGGGTGCAGAGCCAGAAGTAACCCCTATACATTGCCGGATGTGACCCAAAAGAAAGCACTGTAGCACTGTCCTCCCGTTGTTCATCGATTTGCTCGAGCAGACCCAGTAACGTCTCTATCGTGAGACTTGTTGTTACTGTGTTTGGCATATGGAATACGTCACGGGTAACTTGCCAGGCTTTGCCGTGTGGACAAGATACTCTCGGTAGTTTGCCAGGCTCTCTGAGAGGGGCGGAGGAATCAAACCTGGCTCAGCCGGGCCGGCTGTGCACAAGGCAAACACCCTACCGCTGCACTTTCCCATACGTCCATTCCTTAAACTGTCACAAAATTATATGTACAAGGACAATTCTTGCAAAGCTTTACTTGAGTTTTTTTTTGGGGGGGGGGATTAGGGGTCCTCCCAGTGGACCCCTCAGGGGAGCCTGGGGACCACTCCCGGTGACAATCTGCCAATAAGGTTGCTAGTTGCTCAAGGCTAGGGCAGAGGATGCCACAGTGCTTGGGCTCTGTCGTGCCAGGGCACACTGGGGCAACAGCCGGCAGAGAGCTCAGGGGCAGTGCAGTTCAGGGCTTTGAACTCGGGTCTGAAAGTGTGTGCTGGATGCACCCCAGACCACTTCAAGGATTTCATCCGCCGAAATCATCTTTAGAATACTAACTTGGGGCTGGAGTGATAGCACAGCGGTAGGGCATTTGCCTTGCACGTGGCCGACCCGGGTTCGATTCCCGGCATCCCATATGGTCCCCAAGGCACCTCCAGGAGTAATTCCTGAGTGCAGAGCCAGAAGCAACCCCTAAGCATCGCTGAGTATGACCCAAAAAGAAAAAAACAACAAAGTAGAATACTAACTGCCCCTAAGTATCAACCAATAAGTCAGCATCTTATGCAGCCTGGTCACCTTCATCTTTTCCAGCTGCCTGGCTCAATCTCACTCAACCTCACTTCCTGAGCGACAAGCACCAAGCTTCTGAACACGTGAATGTGAGAGCTCAACCCTGGAGTATTAGTACTCGGAGAGAACACAGCTACCCTAAGGAATCAGTAACGAAGCCCCGGAACTGGCTCTCGTTTTCTTTCCCGGACTGCAAGGTGAGAGGCAGAAGGAGCAAAGGAAGTTGAGCAGGGGAAGAACTACAAGAAGACCGAACCCGCCAGGAAGAGGGGCAGCGGGTGGCTCCTGCCGCGGGTACCTGTGCAGTCTGGTCAAGCAGGACATGGACGCTGTAGCCCAGGAGCTTGAAGAGGGCGACGAGGGTGCTATGGTCCACATCCCCTCCGGAGCGGAATTCCAGATCTTTCTCCCCGGTGAAGTGCACGTTACTCAGCACCAGCGCCAAGCCCCGGGGCCGAGACTGCAGCCTGTAGGCCTGGGGGAGGGAGGCCAGTTAGAGCCGAGGGGGGGGGGGTGGCGGGCGGGCAGAGACCAGCTCCCCCGATACAAGATACTGAAACGCGCGTCACGCTCATCACTCCGCCAGGACGGGGCAGAGCAGTGTCGGGAAGCCATCCCGACAGCGCTGACTTTCTGAGGAACAAGGCGGCAAGGAGAACGCAGCGGCAAACCCGGTGCCAGCACGCAGGACAGTCTCGCTCCCCAGCCCCTCCCCAGCTGCTCGGCACGACTCACCAGCTGCCAGTGCGTCTGATAGAACTCGGGAGTGCAAGGCTTCACCTGCAGGCTGGGCGGACCGTCTCCGTTGTCTAGGGAGTGTTCCACAGCATCTGTGGCACAGAGAGCCCACCAACTGGTACCCAGTCTGTGGCACGCTGCCAGCACTTCAGGGACCACTTGCAACGGGACCTGAAGGGAGCTGGCTGGCGGGTCACGAGGGTCTTCATAGACACTCGTCTTCCTTACTCCCGTGATCCGAGTAACCCACGAGAGAAGAGAATCTCTCCGCTTCTGCGCACCACTGATCCTCTGCACATAACTGCACGGAAAACCCAGAAGCTCAACTCACTGATTGACTAGCGGACCGTTAAGCTGCTCACTACGCTAATCAAGCCACAGGCTGGCAATGTGGAGGCTTTTCTTATTTATAGAGGAGACAGGCCAATGGCATGCAGGGAATTTCCTGAGTGCGCAAGTTGCTCCAAGGTTTAACTGCCATCAGACCATCGTGTGTGATGATGGGGAGGCAATGGGCCCGACTGACATCCCAACTACCTAGCGTGCGACATCCCCCCTACATAATGGGACAAGGGAAATACTTCTAATATGAAGGTTGCTAGGTTTAGTGCTAGGACCAAGTCATGGAAAGGAGTCAGTCTGGTTAAGGAAACTTGGTACATCTATACAATGGAATAATATACAGCTGTTAGGAGAGATGAAGTCATAACATTTTCTTATAGGTGGATAGACATGGAGAGTGAAATGAGTCAGGAAGAGAGGGGCAGACATAGAAGGACTGCACTCATTTGTGGAATATAAAATAACATAATATGAGACTGACACCCAAGGACAGTAGAGACAGGGCCAGGAATATTGCTCCATCGTTAGAAGCCTGTCTCATGAGCTGGGGGAGAAGGCAGCTGGAATAGAGAAGGGATCACTAGGTCAATGATGGTTGGGGGGATCTTTCAGGATGGGAGATGTGTGCTGAAAGTAGATGAAGGACCAAACTCAGTATCTTTTTTGCAATTTGCAATCTCAGTATCTATATTGCAAATATGACCAAAAGTTGAGAGTATGGGGGAAACTGTCTGCCATAGAGGCAGGCGGTGGGGTGGGATGTGTGTGTGCGTGTGGGGGGGGGGGGGATACCGGGGACATTGGTGGTGGAAAATGTGCATTGGTGGAGGGATGGGTGTCGATCATTGTATGACTGAAACTCAAACATGAAAGCTTTGTAACTGTATCTCATGGTGATTCAATTAAAAAAAAAAAAGTCGTCAGTGTGTGAGACCCCACTGGCCCATCCATTCTCACCTGGAGACAGGCGGAGCTGTTTGTTAGGGGAGCAGGACTCGCACACGGGGAAGGGGAAGTTCCGGTCGTAGTCACAGCTCAGCTGCAAGGAACAAGCACCCATGAGGCCTGGCTTCCGGGAGGTGGCCCGGGCCAGGGGAAAGGGGGGAACGAGCGGTCCCCGCCGTGCACCAGCTCCACATACATTTCTGGGGCTCGGGACCGGGGGGAGCAGGTGTGGGAGGTCGGCCAGGGTGGAGAGCAGCAGCTCCTCCAGGTGGCTCTGCTTGGTCTCCCGCAGGGCCCCGCAGAAGACTTCAAAGGCCTGGGGACCCCTCTTGGGTAGCAGGTTGAGGAGTTCCACATTCTGGCTGAAACTGCCCGCTTTGGCCTAGGGGACAGGAACAGAGTGTGAGTGCCCGGTCGCCCGCCCGCCCATCATTCCGTTGCTCCAGCTGCCTATCCTGGGATGTCACCATCTGTCTCTGATAAGGAAATGAGATGCGGTGAAGGGATGGGATGGGGTGACTGGTAGGGAGAAGGGTTTTTTGTTTGTTTGTTTGTTTGTTTTGCTTTTTGGGTCACACCCAGCGATGCACAGGGGTTCCTCCTGGCTCATGCACTCATGCACTCTGGCCCGTGCTCAGGAGACCTTATGGGATGCTGGGAATTGAACCCGCGTCGGGCCACGTGCAAGGCAAACGCCCTACCCTCTGTGCTATCACTCCAGCCCCGAGAAGGGCATTTTCATGTCTCCAGCCAGGCTCCGTTCTCCTGGGCCCGCCTCATCACCTGCCACTCCTACCGCGACGGCCAACTCCGTTCCTGGGCTTCCCCGTCGGGTATACCTGAATGAGCTCCCTCATCTCCAGGGTGATGACGTCCTTCTCGAGGAGGTGTTCTAACAGCTCACTCAGCAGCAGCTGCTTGGCCAGCACCACGCGATTCTTCTTGAGGGCCTCCTGATGGTCAGGGTGCATGCCGCAGGGTCGCAGCGTCCTGTGGGGCGGGGGCAGGGGGAAAGGCCGTCAAGGAGAAGGGCCTGGCCGGGAAAGCGGCAGGAAGAAGACAAAGAGCTGGCCCAAAGAGCCAAGGCCTGCTCCTGGGAAGTCCCCACTCCTGGGAAACATCAAGCGAGGACCTGTCAGTGCCAAACGGAGCGGGCGGGAATGATGGGTCACTTTTGTGGCTGTTGTTCTGGGACCATTCCCAGTGGTTCCCTGTGACCACGCTGGGTTTGGTGTCTGGGGGACCCTGCGGTGCTGGGGATCGAAGCTGGGCTTCCTGTGTGTGCTCTATCATCCTAGTCGGACACATAATTCTTTGTGAAGAATGTTCGACTTCAACCATCTTCTGAGACGAGTTGTCTGACTATGGAAAGGATGTCTCATGACAAAAGTAATACATCGAAGTCGATGTATGTTTGTGAATAGAAAACAGTCCTCTGGCAAACCTATTGAAGAATTAGTCCAGAAAACATTTCACACTATTTACCTGGGCTTTGAAAGCAGTATACACTCTGGGGTTCAGTGGGAGAGCCACCTGTGTGTGGTCTTGGGACAGATTCCCCGCTACACACACACACACACACACACACACACACACACACACACTAAATTTTAAAATAATCCTGTGTAAGGGATAAAATTTAAAAAATAAATATAAACGTAAGTCAACTGGCAGATTTTAAGTAGAAAATAAATGAAACAGAAACACTCTAATCTTTTATAAATTTTAACTGTGGCTCAGAAATTTTAAGTTCTCACGACGAGAAACTGATGAGACCTCTGTCCTAAGACAGGATGTCACAGGAAATGACTATCAATGATGAACATAAAATAACCTGAAATTGCTTAGAGCACAGAAAGCCTAAACTACTACTTTGGTAATTCAGTTTACAAGGGCTACCTGTATTTCAAGGATTCCTTAGTTCTGCAATGAGTTGAACAGAGATCAACTTTTATGAAGAGAAAGAATCCTAGTCCTGATACATATCATTTGTGTGCTGGTTTATATAAATCCAGAGCTTCCCACCCCACTTAATACCCGACAACACTGAGGTCCTAATGGCAGTCAGAGAGGGGTAACCGCTTCATCAAGCTTATAATTTGAAAGCCAATTTTAATTCGACATATTTAAAAACACATCCTGATTTCAAAGATGTTACAGTGGGTATATACAGGGGTCAGAATGAATGAAATACCATACATTTATAGAAATATGCCAGCTCAACAGTGGGTCAGAGATTTGTAGTGTGAGGGAAAAGTACAGTAGGCACTTGGTTCACTCAGGTTCGGCACCCAGCACCCCCATTTGGTCCCTTAAGCCCCGCAAGGAGTGATCCGTGAACATAGCGCCAGAGTAAGCCCTGAGTCTCCTTAGGTGTGGTCCCCAAAAGAGGCAAAAGAAGAATCCTGCAAGAGCTCAAAAGAGAGCCACAAAACAAAGGGAAACTTAATGGTCAGCAAAATATTCTCCGGCCTGACAGCAAACCAGCTTTGGTTTGATGGTGGAGTTTGGCTCTAATAGACAAAAATTCCATTTCACCTTCGTGCTTCTGCTCTATTTTTCCTTTTCTTTTTGGGTCACACCCGGTGATGCACAGGGATTACTCCTGGCTCTGCACTCAGGAATTACCCTTGGTCACACCCGGTGATGCACAGGGGTTACACCTGGCTCTGCACTCAGGAATGACTCCTGGTGGTGCTCGGGGGACCATATGGGATGTTGGGAATCGAACCCGGGTCCGCGGAGAGCTAGGCAAACGCCCTACCCTCTGTGCTATAGCTCCAGCCTTTCTGTTCTATTTTAAACCTTCCTCTCACCCCAAACCAGTCAATAAGGACTAGGACAAAAAAAAAAAACCTAAAGAAATGCACTCCACCCCCCTTGGGGTGTCCACTTGGAATACTTCCAAAGTGGGCCAGGGGGTGCCCGAGAGGGGGCTCGGGGTCCCCCATGCACATCAGCAGGTCCCACTCGGCACGGCCTCCACCTCCACAGCCGCTGCGGGAAGGGAGGAAACCAGCACAATGCCCGGCGGCAGGATCCGGGCCAAGGAAAGGGCAGGTCTCTACTCCGGTTTCGAGGCCGAGTTTCTCCTGAAAACTTTCTCCTCCCTCGGTTGCCATGACGCCGGGCGGCTTTGCCACGCGGCTTCCTCCAGCTCTCTGGACTGGATGCCCCATGCACTCCGGTCCCAAAGAGAGCCTCGCCCCTGCTTCTTCCCCTCTCCTCCAACACTCCCCAAGCCACAAAAGCACGCCCGGTGACCGAGCGCTTTTCCGAGCTCCAGGTGTGAATTTTTTTTTCCCCCAAAGCAGGAACACAACTCGGTTGCAGCTGCAAATACGTCATGCACGACGCCCCCGACACGCCTGCACCGAGGCTCCCGCGTGCAATTCCAGCAAAGCACGCCCCGCACCCACCCCCCTCCCCAGCCCTTCTATTCTCTCTCCCCCAGCATCACCCGGACCGGTAGGACCAGGTTGGGAAGGGGCGCAGGGAAAAGTCGCAGAGGGAGTTCCTGGGGGAGTCGAGGTGGGGGGGCGTGCTTCTGCCTCCCGAGTTCTCCACCCAGCTCCGGGGGTCGGCCCCAGGAGGCTTGCCAAAGCTATGCTGGGCGGTGCGATGAGTCAAGGAGACCCCTCCCACCACCACCACCTCCACCCCCACACCCCGGGATCTGTGTCAAAGCACCAGCGTCGATCGATCGCTCGGACCGTGTGCACGTTGCAGCCGCTGCAACGCGGGGCGCGATCGGCGGGCTCCCACCCGCACCGCGTGCACCCCGGCCGGAAGCGCCAGGTCTGCGGTGGCGGGGGGAAGGGGGGCTCGGCGACGCTCAAGGGGGCGGGGGTGGGCGAGCCCGGAGAGAGGGAAGAAGAGGAGGGGCCCGTCGCTGGGCCTGGCCCGGCAGGGGCCCCGGGGGGCTTCCGGGGCGGGGGGAGGTTGCAGACAGACAGACAGACACACACATACACACACACACACACACACCCGGGGTCCCTCCCGCACTCACCTGCGCCCCCTGTCCGCAGCCATCAGCCCCTGGGGCGGGAGGGCGGGCCGGGAGGCCGCGCGCCGCGACGCCATGGCCCGCTTTTCCCGGGCTCAGCGCGCACCGCCCACCGGCCCACCCAACCCCGCGCGGCGCTCAGCGCGCCTGCGCCCCCGCCTCCGCGCAGGCAGGCCCCGCCCCCGTTGGGCGCGCGCAGGCGCAGAGCCCTCGCGGTGGGCCGCGCCGTCCAATGGGGTGAGAGAGCGTGCGGAGCGGAAAGGGAAGAGGCGGGGTGAGGACGGGGCGGAGGAGTGCGGGAGGAGGTGGTGGTGGGGAGGGGGAGCCTACGGAGGAATCCGATTGGTCCCGCCGACGGAGGAATCCGATTGGTCGTCGTTTCCCGCGGAAAGCCCGGCTCCCCGCCCCGGCACCGCCCACTCGTCCCCACCTCCGCCAATAGGAAGAGCTTGACCCGGGAGGGCGTGGCCGCGTGTTCGGGTGTTATTGACGTGGAACTGGGGCACCCGGGAGGGGAGGGGAAGGGGGCGTGCAGTGCTGGAAAGAGAGCGGCTCGGCAGTGGGACGCACCCCCCCCCCCAGCACCCAGTTCTGAAACCCAGCAGCATCTTGGGAAGTGGGACCAGGAGTGGAACCCCAGGGTGGGCCTGGAGCGAATAGAGAGCGTGCAAGTGGCTCCAGTTCTTTGTACTAGACGAATTGTAGACGGTCCCCTGGATACTCCACCGCCCCACGCCAAGAAGCTCACGTTTTATTCACAAGGTTGGAAGTCCTTCCTCCTGCGTCCCACTAAACGGAGGGTCTGGGGCTGAGGACTGCTCTCATGGGCACTGCCTGATATATAGCAGGGGTCGACCCTCCATCGGCCCTGTCGGTGGCTGTCCCCCCAACCCCCCTCAGCTGCCCTCAGACCACCCTATTTGCAGGCCTACTGGTCTCCCATTTGGTCTACACCAGCGATCTTCAGCCATTTCACACCTTACAGACCAGCACCTGTCCTGCACGCCCGTTCAGGGGCCGGCAATAATAACCAAGGCAGTAATCCTATGGTTTCCAATCCCCCAACAACCTGCTGACAGGTGGGTGGGCTTGTGGTTGAAGACCACCGTCTACACTAAGTCTTCCACCTGCATATCATGTGTACCAAGACAGGTATTGAGAGATGTGTGGATAGCCTGGCTCCTTAAGGCATTGTAAACTAAAGGGTTTTTAGAATGGAAACAGTTGTGTTCAAGTCCTTCTCATGCTAATTAGCAGTGTAGCCCTCAGCAGACTATCAAACTGAGTCACCAAGTTCTCATGTTTCAAAAGAGGTTAATCGTACCCACAAGGCTGGGTGTACAAAGGGGCAAAGTACCTGGAACAGAAGCAACATAGCTGTTCCTCAGACGTCATTTCTTTTTATTCTTGTTCAGCTTCTTTGTACCACCTCATCATCTTCAGTTTAATCCTGGAAATATCAGATAGGGGGGAGGTCACTGAATGTCACTGTCGATCCAAAATTTTGCCATTCACAGCCCAACTGGGACGTGTTTATTGCGGAGGGAGTCCTTTTTTAGATGACAGTTCTGGAATTCACTCGCTATATCCCAGTAGAAGCGTGTCCTGACACATAGGTGGTCCTGAGAAATGTTGGCCAAACGAACAAGTGGTCTGGTGCAGAGAGATGGCATCCCGGGAAGTCATTTAAGGGGGTGCCCAGTTGTTTTCATAGAAAACATCATCATCGGACTGCCCGAAGCTGACATCGTAAGCAGGAGGCGGGGTAAGAGGCTCCACTGTGGGAATCACTCCCAAGTTCTGCATATCTGAAGCCGTGGACAGAGCACGCGGTACTCGGAGCCTGATGCTGGCCGGCGCTTGTCGGGCGCTGCCTCTCAGGGTGAGAGACCCCTCAGACACCACTTGCCTTGGCAGCCGGGCTCTCCTAGGGCCCTCTGGAGGGCGGGACCCTCCCTCCTCAGGTCCTGGGGGGATAATAACGCTGCAGTAGGGGGGTGGAGGATCTGATCGTTGGGGCTGGGTTTGGGATTCCAGCACTGAGGCCTCGGCGTAGGTTGGCACCTCAAAGACTTCGTTGTCCCTGTGGAAGGAGAAATCAGGTCATGGTGGGTGTCTCGGAAGAACCTCTTTCCTCTCTACTACAAAAGCCCCCTCCAGGGTTCCCTGGCTCTTCCCTTCCTCTGCCAGGGACACCCAGGGACAAGAAAGTTGAGACTGTCTTCCCGGGATGAGAGGGTCCCCATCTCACCCTTGAGTCCTGGCCATCCCTTTACTCACCGTGCAGTGCTCGAGTCCCCTGGACTCTCGGTCTGCGTTGATCGGAGCCCCCATTCCAGGAAGCAAGCCAGGAGGCCGGCCAACATGAAGCAGCCGCCCAGGGCGAGGAAGAAGTGGGCAGTGTGGGCCATGTCCGGCCGGATGCCCAGCAGGGCCAGTCCCAGGGAGACGGAGGCGCAGCACAGGTAGAGAAGCGGCTTCCGCAGTCGCCCCCACCACTGGCTTGGCACCATGGCCCCGCCCGGGGCGCCTGCAAAAAAAGACCTACAGCTCTCGTGCCTAAGTTAGCATTCGGCATCCCAACTGGGTCAGATTGCAGAGGAACCTCGCCAGGCTCCTTTGTTGGGGTTTCAGGTTCTTCGGTCTCAAATGAAGGGACACAATGCTGGCAGGGTCCCCAGTGTCTCAAATAAAGGGACACATTGCTGGCAGGGTCCCCAGCGGCCTCCTCGCTGGGGTCAAGATAGATAGAGTCGCTGAGAAAGCTGCTGAGTCCCAGCCCTCAGGCTGGCTCAGGGGTGTGGCGCCGCCTGCCAGCCCTGTTCCCTCTTCCCTGGAATTTCTTTCCCCTCCAGCCCTGTTTCTGCATCTTCCAGGACCCAGTTCTGGCCGGCCTTGTCTCCTCGGCTCACCTGCCTCTCTGGAATCCAGGTGCGGGGGCATCCCCTGCTCTCCTCTCTTTCTCTCTCTCTCTCTCTCTAGTATGGCTTCCACTGGATTTCCATCCCTACCTCTCCAGCCAGAGACAGAGCCTCAGTCTGACCCTGTTGGGAGAGAAAAGCAGGGAGATAGAACCTTCCATCCCCTCTCCCACCCCCATACTCCCGTTTTCTCCAAGGAGTCCAGGGTGGAGTTGGAGGAAGACCGTGCCCATTGGGGCTGCAGAGTACACTGGAGGGCACTTGCATTGCCTGTCACCGACCAGGGTTCAATCCCCGACACCCCGTATGATCCCCCCTGAGCCTTGCCAGGAATGAGCCCTGAATGCAGAGCCAGCAATAAAGCCCTGAGCACAGCCGGGTGTGGCCCCCAAACAAAATACAACAAAGGACCGTGCTCACCCAAGTCCCAGGAACACACCTGTAAGGGAAGGTCACACAAACACCTGGGCAGGACACAGAGAGGAGATAACTCCTGGCTTCCCTCCGCCCCATGTGGCCAACGGTCCCCCGCCCTCCGTTGGCCCTAACTAGAACTCACATTTCATGTTTCCCGCACGAAGGGGCTGGCTGGTAGGCTGGCGGTAGAAGCCTTTTCTTTCCTCTGTAACTCTGTGACATCACTCAAGCAAGCATGGGCCACCCCCCCACCCCTGCCCAAAGTGGCCTGGCAGGTGTTCCTTGCTGGAGTTCTGCTCCGCAAGGAGGCGCAGGCTTCAGCACGGGGTCAGACGCAGCCTGGCACCCCACCTCTGATCCCGTGATCCTCCCTGCCTTGTCTCAGCCGTCTCTCCCTCACCGGTGTCCAGGCAGACTCCTGAGAGAAGGCTGGGGGGACCGGGAGGGGGAAGAGGAGGAGTCCACCGGCCCCTCCTCCCTCCTGCCCCAATCCCTCCTCTCTTGCCCAGACTTCCTCCTCCCCTCACCCCTCCAGGCTGTCCACTTCCTGTCCCACCTTGATTTTTCTGGATTTGGCTCACTGCACTCTCCCCTATCTCCAGCCTGAATGAGAGCGTCCAGCCCCATGATCTCTGTTCTTCGGCCCAGAGTTCAATCTCCTTCCCTTCCTCCTTCCGCCCAAGGTCTCAGTCTCCTGAGCGGCTTCCCTAGATTTCCAGAGTCTGTGTGTGGTGCCTGGCGGCAGATGCCCGGGGTTTATTTCACTTCTACAGGTCACACGAGTGCTTTGCACACATGCTGGGCTTCTCCCTGGTCACCACGGGAGGGTCTGCTTCTGGCTTCTGGGAACTTGGGGTTTCTGGCTTACTGGGCAGATGGTGCAATGAGGCTGCTCCGAGACCCGTTATCTCTCTCAATTCTTCTAAAGGCCCCTTGGAGGCGATGCCACTTTGGGGTCTGTCTCCATAGGGGAGTCTCGGCTGCCTTCCCGGCCCATCATGCTCTTCCGTGTATAGACCTTTCTCCCACCGTGAGCGACTTCAGCGACTCTTTTCTGTCATCTCTGGATTCCTGGGACTCACACAGTGCTTGCTAAGCAGAGCGACATGCTTTTCCTCGAAGGGTGCCCCTTCGCCATGTCTCACTACACACCACAGAGGCAGGACCTGGCCCTCAGGTCTGCGTCAGGCAACCAGTGTGGATGGAGCAGAGCTGGGCGTTACAGGACTCTGCAGCCGCACCGAGAGAGGGCTGAGAGGGCTTGTTCCTTCAGAGGCTCAGTGATTAGACGAAGAGGAAGAGCAAAGACTGGGATCGCACCCAGGGACAGCGTGGGGGGGGGGAGGATGCCTGGGTTTGCTGCAGCTCCTGTGTGTATGTTTGTGTGTGTGTGTGTGTGAGAGAGAGAGAGAGAGAGAGAGAGAGAGAGAAAGAGAGAGAGAGAGAAAGGGAGGGAGGGAGGGAGAGGGGATGAAGAGAAAAGAGGGAGAGAGAAAGAGGGAGGAAGAGAAGGAGGGAGAGGGAGACAGAGGGAGGGAGGGAGGAAGAGGAGTGTGGTCTGCTGTGTGGTGGTGTGCTGTGTGAGGAATTAGTCTGTCTCTCTGACAGAAAATAGGCAGGGAAGTACTCAAGGCTGTGACGGTAGAAAGGAGCGTGTCTCCATAAGAAGAAGGAAATGGGGTAGAGAGTAGGAGGCCTAGTTTTTAGCTCAGTAGTTTTCTGCCCTTTTCACACATGGGAAAACAGAAAACTCCTATTTAGGAGACACGATTTGCAGACCACGACGACAGAAATTAAAAACCCCACTCTGAC